CTGTTTGCTGGTGAAATTGAACCTGAAAATTCCCAAGCACACCGGGAATAATGGGAATAATGGGAGGAATTAGAGACTTAGAAGACATGGATTTGGAATTCCCAACTGTCACCCTCTCTACTCACCAAAAGAAGGCTGCTCATCTGGAAATTATTCAAATGATTGGAACAGTGTGGGAAACTATGGAACTCACCAAAAGGCCCCATCTCTTTTGATAAAAGTATCATACCTAGAGCAAAAACGAGTCTGGAATTCTGTAAAAGGCACCCCCGCCCCCTAGGGACTAACTAGAAGAATGGGAACAGTTACGATAAGTAGAAAGAAAACATAAAATCATATTGTATTTTCCAAAAGGCACCCGTCCCTTTGTGAGTACTTAGCAGAATTAGAACAACCAGAAGAAGTAGACAAATCAGGGCAAAAAGGAATCTGAAAATCCTCAACAGGCGCCCGCCCCTTTCGGAATAAGCAGAGAACGTCGAATAGCAATGATTCCTTGCGAAAAATGATTAGAACAGATCAAATTAGAACAAAGATGAATCTGGAATTCTCCGAAAAGCACCCGAATCATTGCAATTTGAAGAACTGGCAGAATTGTGATAAGTTAGAATTATTTGCGAGATGAATTTTGAACTCCTGAAAAGGCACCCGCCCCTTTGGGAATAATCAGAATATTTAGAGAGTTAGAATAATTGGCACACACATGAATCAGGAGTTCGCCCCAAAGGCACCCGTCCCTCTGGGAATGGATAGAACAATGAAATTATTCAGGATAGTTGGAGCAAACCTTAATCTGGAATTCCCAAAGGCACCTGTCCCGCGGGGAACAAATTTACTATTTAGAACAGTTAGCAAAACATAGCCCTGTTTGTTCTTTTATTATCATAGTTATTCGATTCAATGGTCAAAAGTAGCTAATTATGAATCTATGATTCGGGAATTCCCCACAGGCACCTGACCCTTTCGGAATACATGAGTAGAATAATTTGAAACATGGATCTGGAGTTCCCCAAAGGGCATCCTTCCCGTGAGGAATAACTAGAACAGCTTGAACAATTACAGGAACTTGCGCAACACATGATGTGGATTTCCTGAGAAGGCACGCGTCGCTGTGGGAACAATTGGAAAAGTCCGAATGGCTGGAAAAAAAGGCGTTATTTGGTCTATTTTGTTAATGTGTCTAATTTGTCAGAATGAGTTTAATGGCTTGAATAGTTAGACGCAATGTTTGCGTACTTCCCCCAAAGGCACCTGCCCCCGTGGCACAAACAAGAAACAACAAATAGGGCTACGTGTCTTCGTCTTATTCTATTTATTCTAACTAATTAGAACCACTCCAATACTCACAATGATTTAAACACATCTGCCATTTCCCAAAGGGCCCCTTCCCCATTCGGGAAAAATAGACTAACACGAATGATTTTACACTTGCCTATGGCAAACATGAATCTTGAATTCCCTAAAAAGGCACCCCGCCCCTTTGAGACTAACTAGTGCAATTGGACAAATCAAAGAAGTAGAATGATTAGAACAGACACTGAATCTGGATTCCCCAAAGGGTGCCCGTCCTTTTGGAATACTTAGAATGATAATATTACAAAGAATCATTGGACGAGTTAAAACAGATGCATCTGGAATTCCCCAAAAGGCACCTACCTGTCTCTTGCAGAAAGACGAGTAATAGGGAACAATGTTCTAATTATACTACTTATCCAAATTCTTAGACTAAGTAGATCAACTAGCAACAATGAATTTGGATTTTCCCAAAAGGCACGCGTCCCTTTATGAGGAACACTCATTTAATAAATCGAAGATAAAACACGCATTGTAATTAGACAGTAAGTCAGGATTTCCCCAGAAGGCACCCGCCCCTTTAAACATAAACAAATGTTAGGATAATCATGAGAAGTAGAATAATTAGCACAAACTGAGTCTGGACTTCCCCACAAGGCTCCCGGCCCATTGAAAATAAGTAGAACAGTTAGAGTTGTGAATGCTTAGACTAGTTAGGACAAACATGAACATTGAATTCCCCAAGGGGTACCCCTCCATTTGGAAAGCAAATAAGACAATGACAATAGTTTAAATCGAAGAATTACGCTGGATTAAATTGAAGAATTATTGTAATTAGACAGTGAGCCTGGATGTTCAGAAGGCACCCGCCCCGTTGGAAATAAATGTTGGAAGAATCATGAGAAGTAGAATAATTAGCACAAACTGAATCTGGACTTCCCCACAAGGCTCCCGGCCCATTGAAAATAAGTAGAACAGTTAGACTTGTGAATGCTTAGACGAGTTAGAACAAACATTAATATTGAATTCCCCAAAGGTACCCCTCCATTTGGAAAGCAAATAAGATAATGACAATAGTTTAAATCGAAGAATTACGCTGGATTAAATTGAAGAATTATTGTAATTAGACAGTGAGCCTGGATGTTCAGAAGGCACCCGCCCCGTTGGAAACAAATGTTGGAAGAATCATGAGAAGTAGACTAATTAGCACAAACTCCCGGCCGATGAAAATAAGTAGAAGAGTTGGAGTTGTGAACGCTTAGACTAGTTGGAACAAACATGAATATTGAATTCTCCAAAAGGTACCCCTCCATTTGGGACGCACATAAGATAATGATAGTACTTATAAGAAGTAGAAGAATTAGAACAAGCTTAGATCTGGAATTGGCCAAACGGCTCCTGTTTGCTGGTGAAATTGAACCTGAAAATTCCCAAGCACGCCGGGAATAATGGGAATAATGGGAGGAATTAGAGACTTAGAAGACATGGATTTGGAATTCCCAACTGTCACCCTCTCTACTCACCAAAAGAAGGCTGCTCAGCTGGAAATTTTTCAAATGATTGGAACAGTGTGGGAAAACTATGGAATTCACCAAAAGGCCCCATCTCTTTTGATAAAAGTATCATACCTAGAGCAAACACGAGTCTGAAACTCTGTAAAAGGCACCCCCACCCCCTAGAGATTACAATTAGAAAAACTAGAAGAATTGTGTTAAATAAAGTAATTTGCAAGATGAATCTTGAATTCCTCAAAAGGCACCGGAATAATCAGAATAATTAGAGAGTTAGAATAATTGGCACAAACACTAATCTGGAATTCGCCCAAAAGGCACCCGTCCCTTGGGCAATGGATAGAATATGAAACTACTCAGGATAGCTGGAGCAAACATGAGTCTGGAATTCCCAAACAGGCACCTGTCCAGTTGGGAACAAGTAGAATATTTAGAACAGTTAGCAAAACATATATTCTCTTATCGTCCTGGATATTCGGATCAATGGGAACAGTAGTTAAGTAGAAGTCAATGAATCGGGAATTCCGCCCAACAGGGCACCTGTCCCTTTCGGAATACATGAGTAGAACAATTTGAAACATGGATCTGAGGTTTCCCAAAGGGCATCCTTCCCGTGAGGAATAACTAGAACAGCTTGAACAATTACAGGAACTTGCAAATAAAGTGATGTTGATTTCCTGAGAAGGCACGCGCCCCTGTTTGAACAGTTAGAATAAGCCGAGTGGCTAGAAAAACAAAGAGCGTTATCTGGTCTGTGTTGTTTAATCTTGTAATTCGGTAGACTCATTTTAATAACTAGAACAGACACACACGATTTACGCGTACAAATACGGCTACGCGTCTTCGTCTTATTCTATTTATTTCACCGAGTTGGAACCACTCCAAGATTTGAAATGATCTAAACACATCTGCCATTTCCCCAAGGGCCCCTCGGGAAAAAATAGAGTAACGAGAATGGTTCTGACACTTGCGTATTGCAAACATGAATCTTGAATTCCACAATAATTGGTGTAATTGGACAAATCAATCGTAGAATGATTAGAACAGACACTGAATCTGGATTTCCCCAAAGGGTGCCCGTCCCTTTGGAATACTTAGAATGATAATATCAAGAATCATTAGACGAATTAAATCAATTGCATCTGGAATTCCCCAAAAGGCACCTGTCCCTTTCAGAAACATGAGTAATAGGGAACTGTGTTCTAATTATACTACTTATCCAAGTTCTTAGCATAAGTAGATCAACTAGCAACAATGAATTGGTTAGTTTCTCAAAAGGCACGCGTCCCTTTGGGAATAACTAGCATAACCCGACTAATCAGAAGAGTATAGCCAGGAAATCCACGAAAGCACCCAACCCATTTTGAATAAATCGAAGAATTAGGCTAGTTAGACCATCATTGTAATTAGACAGTGAGTCTGGATTTCCCCGGAAAGCACCCGTCCCTTTGGGAACACATGTTAGGATAAATAATGATTAGCTCAAAGTGAATCTGGACATTCCCAACAAGGCGCCCGGCCACTGAAAAACAGAATGTTAGAATTGTGAGAATGCTTAGAATGATTAGAACAAGCATGAGTGTTGCATTTCCCGAAAGGAAGCCCTCGCTTTGGAAATAAAATAAGATAAGATAGTAGGTTTAGAAGCAGAATAGTTAGAGCAAGCATGGATCTGAAATTCGCCAAAGGGCTCCAGTCCCTTGCGGGAACAAAACAATTAGAATAGCTGCACAAAAATGGAAATTGCGTTGAAGATCCAAAGCACGCCCGTCCATTCGGGAATATTTGGAAGAATTAGACACTTAGAAGAATTGGATTTGGCATTCCTCAACAGTCACCTGCCCCTGTAAAAGTATATGGAGTGATTCGAATAATGAAAACAACAAGGGGCGTGCGGGTCATGTGAGCCACGCGCGCGCGCGCGCGCCACATTATACATGGTCTACCCTTCCTCGGGGGGGGGATAGAGTAATTTCAACATGGCAGTGGCTTCACCTGAACTTCCACTAATTCGACCCGAGTATGATTGGCTGCATGCTGCTTGTTGTCAAGTGGCTTTGCCTGCGTGTCTCTTTCTTGGTTCGAGGTCCCTCCTGCCTCTTCATGGCTTGGGGTTGTGGTAGATCTCCCTTTTAGGGTATCCCTGCAGCAACCAAATGTTTCCATAGCGGCAACACCGCGCTACACGTTGCGCATCAGGCAAAGCAGCGCTGCATCGGGGAGAGTGAGGCCAGCAAGAAGCTGAGAAGAGACCTGGTCGAGAAAAACGGCGAGCGTCGTCATTTGATGAGTTGGTGTTCTTTGCCCTTGATTATTTGTCTCTGGTTTCGCCTCAGTATCTTCTGTTTGCTTAAAATGGGTTGGAGTTTCTGTGCGTCACAGGGAAGAGCCATGGTGCTGAATTGGTCTCCGCAAATCAATTCGAGACCAACCACAGTTTGCGACTGAATGTTCATGTTCTCTCTCTCTCTCTCTCTCTCTCTCTCTCGCTTCGGGCCAAGTGCGTCACGAGCGCTGCCTGATGTTCATGGTCGTTTCATTCCAGAAACGTCTTGTGGTCGAGAGTGAGTTGTCGGGAGATGGCCCTGCGCACCTGAAGCTTCCCTAAGCGCCGGAAGGGCCGGAAGGGCCCAAGAGCATCCTCAGCAAGTCGCTACTTTCTTTGGACCAACTTCGTGTCATTCGAAAGTTGGCCATTGAGGTTCTCCTGCAGGGAATTCCCAAGTCTTGGACCAAGAAACCAAAGGGGAAACATGGGGAATCCATGCCCGATAGAGTCAAAAAGGGAGGCTGTTGTTGTTTTGCAAAGCTAAAAAGGAAGGCTTCAATGCCAAAGAAAGGTGAGACTCGAAGCAGAAGCGGAAACAAAGATCCACTGTCACTCGGCTCCGTCTCCCAACCAAACACGTGCTTTCCAAAAATCCGCACACCGAAAGAAGGAACACCTTGTTTTTGTTGTCCGGTCCCCCCCCCCTCGAGCCAACGAGTTTCCAAGGAGAGCTCATGGACGCTTCGGCGAACCTGTCGCGGGACCTGCGATCCCTGGAGTCGATGCTGCGCCAGGTGAAGCTGCGCAGGGAGAAGGCGACGGGAGCGGTGTCGTTTTGTTTGGAGTTGAGGTGCCGGTTGGGCAGGGGTCCCTATAATATGTCTTAGTTTTTTGGCCATGAAAGGTGAGTGTCCCTTGGTGGGGGTGATGTTTTAAGGGTAAATATAGGGAGCCCTGTTGGGTGGGCGAAGAGTACCTGTGCCAAGAGCGCTGAAGCAAGGCTTGTTTTGATACTATGATCGAATGCAGCGAGGCAAATCTCATGGGGCCTGGGGGGAGGGAGGGGAGGAGGGAGGGAGGGAGGGAGGGAGGGGAGGGAGGGAGGGGAGGGGGGAGGGAGCCCAAATTGGCTCTGAAGGCCTTATATAACCCCGCCTCCTACCCCTCCTCCCCCCAGGCCCTGTGAACATTTTTCTTTTTGATTTGTTGTGGAGGGAGTGGCGCCTTTAAAATCAACTACAGCAAAAAGGTGCCCATGTTTTCCCATGGCCACCCTCTTCTGGGTCCAACCTACTCGGATGTTCGGCAAAGTTAAGTTATGAGCCACTTGGGTTAGAACCCAGTGACGGAGCTGACTCCAGGGGGTTGTTCCCTATTGCTATGTTCTGGTGTTTGATTTTAAAGGCAACCCGGTTAACCCTCTTTGCTTAGTTTGGACGGGAACCCGTGATGTAAACCCCGGATGAGTCAACCAGTCAACCCCGGCTTACTGGGGTGTCCCGGCTTGCGGGAAACACCCACCTAGTAAACTGGGGTGGATCCATCCAGCGTTTGGAGTGCTTCCGGGGTGTATCAAAGGCTTCCTTGTGGCTAACGCAAACCAACTTGAGGCTTTCCGACCGGTTTGGATTCTCATAGGTAACGGGTTGAAATTCAGCGGTTTCTCCCTGGCTTCCATCAACCGAAAGGGTCGCCTTCTTGCTGGGCTTCCCATGTGGCGCCTGGGAAATTCCGGTGTCACCATGGGCAATCTGAAGATGTTCTGCCTGGCTGAATCCCAGTTTTCCAGCGTGGCTTTGCATCAAAAGGGCCAAGAGGTTCCTGCTGCTGGAGCCAGCTTCTTCAGGGTGGTCACATTTTTTTAGGGGTGGGGGGGATGCTTTAAATTTGGGTCCGCCCGTACTTGTGGGCTCTCCAAATTATGTTTTATTGTATTGGTAGAGTAAATTTGTTTCAGAATCGGAAAGCATTATTTTTGGAGCACGAGTTCGGCTTGGGCCAAGCCTTCCGTCTCGCTTGAAATTTGTTGTTTCTCAATTTGCTTTAGAAGTGCACAAGCGAACCATTTGACGCTTTAAACGAACAAAACAACATTTGATGGTCTCTCTTGAGCCGTTCCCGAATATATTTGGGATAGCTGGGCGCCCGGGCAGGTTGGGATTAGGGGTGCTTTCCGCCAAACAAGTTGTGATCCCCAAAATGTCCATTCGTGCCATGCTCAAGTTCAATCAGACCCTTCTCCAGAAGGGACCCTTTAAGGCTTGCTTTCCATTCGGTTTCGTCTAAAACCATTAAACCTTTTGCCGAGTTCCGTTTCCTAAAGTTGACCCCGAGATTCCCACACCCGTCCGACTTTTTGCGATCTTTCCTTTTAGTCTCCTTCAAACCAAAATGAACACCCTCAAGCGCACAGGCACACACACACACACATCCAAGAGGAACCCGGGCCCGGAATTCGAAGACCTCGTCAGGAAGCGGGTAAGGCTGTGGCAGTGAAGAAGCTGGACGAAAAGACCCTTGGCGCGGCAAACGGGGTCAAGACGTGGAGTGGTTCTGCACACCCGACTCCCAGTTGTGTAGGTTTGTGTCTTTTCCCCTTCAACCTTCAAAGAGGGTAGCCACGTATACATATACATATATATATATACATGTATATATATATATATATGTATTCTACACATATTTTTTGACGTCGCTTATATACCTGCTTTGTATCTGAACAAAGCAACTGTCAGGCCTGAGGCTCTTACTCTGGGTGTAAGTCTTTGATCACCCACGCCGAGAGCCCCCGCCTGCTTAGCTCCCGGTAGAGAGAGGCAAAGGTTGGCCCCCCACAAGCTCCAAGCAGAACAGTGCAGCCGACTCCTGCCCGCCAACATGGAACCAATGAGAGGGGCCTTTTTTCGGGAAAATCGTCTTCCAGGAGTGTATTACGCTTCAAGATTCCAAGATTGTCTTGATCCCGTTGGAGACTTGTTTAGACTCGTTGTTCTATCCAATCGTGCGCCAATCTTGGGGGGGGGGGCTCATAAATCCCCCAATCCCCAATCAGAATTGGGAGATGTCCAGCATACCGGGTCCCCCCACTTTGCATGTACAACCAGAACTACCTTTGAAAAGCTTTTCCAGCACCGTGGTTCTGATTAACTACTATAGCGGCTTTCCTGGGATCTGGGCCAAGTAAGTCGTTCTGTTTTAGGTGCATTTTGCTTGGATGGACTTTGACTCTTTGCCAATTCATGGATTTTCCATTGAACCACTGAAAGTTAAACTTTTAGGGGGAGCAGAAAGCTACCGAGTTTTCCTCGCTCCCAGGAGATCCGTTTTCGCCCAGTTCGACAAGGACAAGGACGGCCAGCTGAGCCGCAACGAGGCTCGTGGGCTGGGGTTCAATGCCCCCCGACAGCCGAGCGGTGAAGTGTGGAACCCTGCTGGGTTCATAACTTTCCCATCAAAGTCACACCCGTGAAATTGTGGTGGGTCAAAAAAAAAGCCAGCCCCAGTTTTTTCACTTTGTCCAAGTGCTGTTGAATGCAACAAACACTGTACTTGTTGCAACCTCCTTTGGTACTGTTGAGACCCCTTTTCGGTTTCACAGGCTCCCAGTTTGGTCGCCCCATTTTTAGAATCCATGCTTTCCCTGTTTCCAGATTCATGTTTCTTTAAGGTCTTCTTCGTATCAAGTAACCCTTGGTGGTTTCAACTGGGATTTGAACCCCGTGGTTGAACCAACTTGGTTGTAGAGGGAAAGTGGGGAGTTCGCCCCTGGAACATCTCCAAACCACCCAACCAAACCACACCCAACCAAATCACACCAAGCCAAACCACACCAAACCAAACCACACCAAACCAAACCACACCAAACCACACCAAACCAAACCACACCACACCAAACCACACCAAACCAAACCACACCCAACCAAATCACACCAAACCAAACCACACCAAACCAAACCACACCAAACCAAACCACACCAAACCAAACCACACCAAACCAAACCACACCAAACCAAACCACACCAAACCAAACCACACCAAACCAAACCACACCACACCAAACCACACCAAACCAAACCACACCAAACCAAACCACACCAAACCAAACCACACCAAACCAAACCACACAACCCAACCAAACCACACCAAACCAAACCACACCCAATCAAACCACACCAAACCAAACCACACCAAACCAAACCACACCAAACCAAACCACACCCAACCAAATCACGCCAAACCAAACCACCAAACCAAACACACCAAACCAAACCACACCAAACCAAACCACACCAAACCAAACCACACCAAACCAAACCACACCAAACCAAACCACACCAAACCAAACCACACCACACCAAACCACACCCAACCAAACCACACCAAACCAAACCACACCAAACCAAACCACACCAAACCAAACCACACCCAACCAAATCACACCAAACCACACCAAACCAAACCACACCCAACCAAACCACACCCAACCAAACCACACCAAACCAAAACCACACCAAACCAAACCACACCCAACCAAACCACACCCAACCAAACCACACCCAACCAAACCACACCAAACCAAACCACACCAAACCAAACCACACCAAACCAAACCACACCAAACCAAACCACACCAAACCAAACCACACCCAACCAAACCCACCCAACCAAACCACACCAAACCAAACCACACCAAACCAAACCACACCCAACCAAACCACACCAACCAAACCACACCAAACCAAACCACACCAAACCAAACCACACCAAACCAAACCACACCAAACCAAACCACACCAAACCAAACCACACCCAACCAAACCACACCCAACCAAACCAAACCACACCAAACCACACCCAACCCACACCAAACCAAACCACACCAAACCAAACCACACCAAACCAAACCACACCCAACCAAACCACACCAAACCAAACCACACCCAACCAAATCACACCAAACCAAACCACACCAAACCAAACCACACCAAACCAAACCACACCAAACCAAACCACACCAAACCAAACCACACCAAACCAAACCACACCACACCAAACCACACCCAACCAAATCACACCAAACCAAACAACACCAAACCAAACCACACCAAACCAAACCACACCAAACCAAAACCACACCAAACCAAACCACACCAAACCAAACCACACCCAACCAAACCACACCAAACCAAACCACACCAAACCAAACCACACCAAACCAAACCACACCAAACCACACCACACCAAACCAAACCACACCAAACCAAACCACACCCAACCAAACCACACCAAACCAAACCACACCCAACCAAATCACACCAAACCAAACCACACCAAACCAAACCACACCAAACCAAACCACACCAAACCAAACCACACCAAACCAAACCACACCAAACCAAACCACACCAAACCAAACCACCCAACCAAACCACACCAAACCAAACCACACCCAACCAAATCACACCAAACCAAACCACACCAAACCAAACCACACCAAACCAAACCACACCAAACCAAACCACACCAAACCAAACCACACCAAACCAAACCACACCCAACCAACTCACACCAACCCAAACCACACCAAACCAAACCACACCAAACCAAACCACACCCAACCAAACCACACCAAACCAAACCAAACCAAACCACACCAAACCAAACCACACCAAACCAAACCACACCAAACCAAACCACACCAAACCAAACCACACCAAACCAAACCACACCCAACCAAACCACACCCAACCAAACCACACCAAACCAAACCACACCCAACCAAATCACACCAAACCAAACCACACCCAACCAAACCACACCCAACCAAATCACACCAAACCACACCAAACCAAACCACACCAAACCAAACCACACCCAACCAAACCACACCAAACCAAAACCACACCAAACCAAACCACACCCAACCAAACCACACCCAACCAAACCACACCCAACCAAACCACACCAAACCACACCACACCAAACCACACCACACCAAACCACACCAAACCAAACCACACCAAACCAAACCACACCAAACCAAACCACACCCAACCAAACCACACCCAACCAAACCACACCAAACCAAACCACACCCAACCAAACCACACCCAACCAAACCACACCAAACCAAACCACACCCAACCAAATCACACCAAACCAAACCACACCAAACCAAACCACACCACACCAAACCACACCACACCAAACCACACCCAACCAAACCACACCCAACCAAACCACACCAAACCAAACCACACCCAACCAAATCACACCAAACCAAACCACACCAAACCAAACCACACCACACCAAATCACACCACACCAAACCACACCCAACCAAACCACACCCAACCAAACCAAACCAAACCACACCCAACCAAATCACACCAAACCAAACCACACCAAACCAAGCCACACCAAACCAAACCACACCAAACCAGAGAAAACCACCAAGAAAGCAGCTGACTTCGTTTCCTGTGGGTCCCTGACGCCTCACCGCGCGACAGCGCGCGACCAAAGCCGCAGCCAGGTGGGCGCCTACGCGAAGGCCATCGGCTCCGAGCTGCCGCAGCAGGTGCTCGACGCCATCGCCCGGAGCTCGGAAGAGCCGAAGCGACGGAAGAGCCGAAGTCGGGTTTGGTCGAGAGGAAGGCGAGAGGGACGAGCCGCCCAGGGGATTTTCGGTAGATATGTTGGTTTTTTTAGTGGGGTGTGCTGTTGTCTCAAAAGAAGAAGCCGCCCCCCACCCCTTTTGGGCAGGGTTTGAATTGGGAAGCCAAAAAGAAACCAAACATATCATTGTTGTTCTCCTTTTTCTTGTGCTTTCAAGCAAAGAAACCAACCATATTCTAGTTGTTCTCTTTTTTCTTGTTTTTCAAAACAAACAATGAGAACACTGAGGTGTTGGCTGTAAGTGGACAGGGGGCCGGAAACCGGCAAGTGGTCTTCCTCCACCCTCAGGCTTCCATGATTGGAGAAGGAGCAGCAGGGATAAAATTCGCTGGTTCCGGGCTCAAAATGAGGGACCCTTTTCTAGCTGTGGCAAGCTGGCTTAAACAACCAAAACCCGGGTGGATGAAGGTTAGTCAGGGATACTCCCAACCAGAAAAGGGTTCAGGCGCCGTTTTAAGTACTTACACGGTTCTGGGTCCCGACCAGTTTAATACCGCTCGGTTTTGATTCTGACTCCAGTCTGCTTAAATGGCAAGTCAAACACGGAGGTTGGTTGCACAATGGTTCAGAATGGTAGGCCCCACTCTCTGGTCCAGTTCCGCGTGGGAAAACAGAGGACTCCGATGTGTGTTGTGAAAAAAGCCCGGCTCCGAGTCGAAAGCCGCCATAGTTGCTTGCCAGTTGGAGTTGTCAACTTGCCATGGTTGGTGGTTCAGGTTGACTCATGGTCCTATTAGCAGCGATGTGTTCTCCCTGTGTAGGGTTGCTCCGAAAGGATGGCCACCACAAGGGTAGAGGGTTGGCGAATGGTTTTCCCTTTGGTTTCTCCTCACCAGACACCTTTTGTCCACATCATAGCGAGCTCACCTGGTAAAAAGCGGGCTAACACAAGGTGCCTAGTTTGGGTAGTCCTTGTTCCAGTTGACAGTTTTTGGGTGGCCCATTTTAGTACATGAACAGCTTATATATATATGCATGTATATTATCCTCGTGGCAAACTAAAATCAACTATAGAATTATGCATATGTTTAGCCGTAAAAAAATGTATATATATATATATATATATTCATAAATTTGTTTATACATACTCAATAGCTTTCCAGACTCGGCAAATGTGTTTGAAAGGTCCCTGCCACATATATACATATATATATATATATACACATATATGTATATATATATATATATCAGTTTTGGTCACGCTTGGCACATTTTTGCCGGGGGGAAAAGGGGTGCGTTTCAGCTCGGCGCGCTTGCAAGCGCTTGACCGCTCGCTGGAGGCCGCGAAGCTGGCGCCGGTGACCTTCACCCAGTTCCGCGCGCTGCACCGCCGGCTCTTCGTGGCCAAGTGGGAGCTGCTGGCGCGCGAGGCGCGAGCAGCGGATCGATCCGATCCGGGGGGTGGCTGGGGGTGGTGGAGACGCCTGGAGAAGTTCGGGGGTTGGTTCGGTGGTTCAGGGGAAAACACGGTTCTCTAACAAAAAGAGGGAAATTTCGAGGAAAGCACCACGTTTTTTTTGGGGATGGAAGGGGATTATTCTCCCGGTTGCACCAGTTCTAAGCATGGTTATAAGCTGCTAAGTTACTTGCGGATAAGCAGGGAAGGAGAAATGGAATGAGACCCCAAGACAAACCATCCCCGATTTGGTTTCTAGGGAATCCCCCGGTTCATTCAACCAACACCCGAAAAATCATTCCCTACCTATCGCACCAGCAAGTCGTTTGGCATTGGCTTGTTGTCCCACTTATCCATGGGTGTCCTTCTTGGGTGAGTTTGTTGGAAAGTAGATGGCTTCCACTGGTTTGCCTTTGGTTCTAATCATATACCAGTGCCATCGACTTTTACAAACGGGCACCTATCGAGGGTTTGACCTAAGAAGCGGAACCCCGAAAAGTGGCTGGCTTCCTGTTGCTTTCCGCTATATTTCCAGGGTTCCACTTCGAGTCGCCAAGTCGAGAAAAGGAAAGCTTCGGCAAGAAGTGAGAGTTTGTTTCACTTGGGTTGGTCTAAAAGTAAAGGACACAAGACACACGCGTCACTTGAGTGGCACGACCGAAAGGATACTGATCCCTATCGTTGGCTGTAATCCATCGACAGGGCGAAGGGTCGGGGCATGAAGCTTTATGGCCATGAACCACAAGTTGATTCGTTTCTAGGTCCTCCAGTAGAGAGGTTAGAATCAGGGCACCAACTTGTTGTTTTTTCTTTTTTTTCTGTTTTACTAGGGGGGGGTACCCTCCCCCAAAAAAGGGTAAAAGGGCACTACTGGAAAAAATCTAGGTTTCGTGCCTTCCAGCGGATTTCACCCGGTAAGCGGCTAGCATGAGATTTGAACACCCCGGTACCCTCAAAAAGCGAAAAAGGGCAAACACCTCCGGGTGGGTGTGCCTTTTTTTAGGGGACCTACCATTTTTTGGTGGGCCTCCTTGTGGTTTCCCTAGTCCATCCAATTGGTTTGGTTTCGATTCCTAGACAGCGAGGCCAATGGGAGCCAATGCCCGAGATGGAGAAACCCCTCGAATATGAACTTCCTTTCAGTTTCATCTAGGCATACATCTACATTACTCCTGCGCTTTGGGTTTACGATAGAGGGAAACCACCATTGCTGTTAGACCGCCCTTCTCCAAGATGTCCGCTGGACGGAAACAGTGGCTGCTCCTTTTCCTACTTTTGACCTCGAGCAGTTGTGTTGGAGCCCACCAGTAGATTGCAATGGGGAATCTGTCCAACCAACGTCAGGGAAGTAGGATACAACCATGGTTATAGCTTGCGCAACTGGGGATACCCTTATACTCAGTTGTTCAAAGCCGACCTTTTGACCTTTTGGTTTTCCCTTTTTTGGCAACCATTTTAGTAGAGGTCCCAAAAGGTGATCAGCTTTTACTTCCTGGTCCGAACGCAAGTGACTACAAGCATGCTTATTTGTAAAGCTCTAAGCTTGCCAGTTGACTTTGGGGTTGAAGCTCCATGGTCTTGAAGAGCTTGGTCCCCTTATAAACCCATGGGCGAATGAGGTTGGCTGAAGATCCAAGCGGCCAGTGGCATCCCCCCGTTCCGAGATCAAGCCAGGCGCGGGCTGCGGAGGAGGCGAAGAGGAAGGTCTTGGAGGAGAAGCGGGAGGCGATGAAGGAGGTGGGACCAGAGAGCATCCGGTCACCAACAGCTTGGTGTATGTGTATATATATATATATTGCAATTACTAGTGGCAAGGTTGAATGCATTTTTACTTTGGTGCATGTTGCCAAAGGATGTCAGGACTTTAACTTTTTGCCAACTAATGGGTTTTCCATTACACCACTAAAAACTTGTGGCAGGGGAGCAGAAAGCAACCGAGTTCCGATTCCGTGGGCGGGAACCGTTTTTCCAACCAACAGCTGGATTGCTTAGGGGTCGATAGGCCCAGAATAGGCGCTTTGCCGGAGATACCACTTGGGCTTGCTTCTTTCCCTGCACTCGCTTCCGGAGTTTCTGGGACTTACCTTTTAGAATGATTGTTTTTGCCCAAGTCTTTCCAACCAGTCACTTCGCGGGTGGTCACTTCCATGAGCTTCTGGACTATCTGCTTTTTGGACCAGGCATTTTTTAGCGCTTGGCCACTCAGGGAGTGAGTGGAGCTGGGTGGGTGGGCGTCAGGTCTCCCTTTCAAATAATCAACTACCAATTGTTTTTTCCCCTGCGGTCAGTTGTTTGTGGCGCTTCCGGCCTGGGGGTGAGACCTATGAGACTTGTGAGAGTGGATTGATGAGTTTTTTGGTAGGAAGCCCGGGTAAGACAAGAGCGAGGACTTGAGGTGGTTCTCAAGGGAATGGGTTCCAATGTCAAAAATCTCCCAAGTTCGTCTGGGGATGTACTGACCTACCGACCTTTCAATGGATTTGTTTTTCCCAGTTGAGAATAAAGAAGGTGCCGCAAATACAGGATCATGGCTTGACTTAATGCGCATGGATGGAATTCTTCAAAATGAAAATGTCAGACTGTCAGATTGGTCGCCCTGTTGGGTTCATCTCAGGAGCCATGGGAGGCTTCCATTGAGGTTGTTCGGTGTCCGGGGATGAACAATATCGTTCGGCGAAGGGGAAGCCCCAACACCCACACAGCAAATCATTTCACAACTACAAAAATTGCAAACACCGGAAACCTCAGAAACCAAAAATGACAAACACCGGAACCTCAGAAACCAACCGAAAAGACATCAACAGATGGAGCCTGGTAGATAGATCGGTTGCACAGTTGTCCATGGCGTTTGGCCCGAGACCCGGACACAAACCGCAAAGGAGTGGGAAACCCGGGGCGAACCAACCAGAAAACCCAACCAAAAGCGGAGGGAAGGACACCCATTGGCAAACCCAAGTGCAGCAAAGACAGGTCCGCAACTCCCCTCGGAAAGCCAAGAAACCATCGACCCGGGGGAAGCCCTCGACCCCCCCCGCCCCAATCCGACGACGAACGCGCGGGGCACTGCGCGAGGTCCTCGCGGGCGTGGAGGAGGCGCTTGTCCGCGGCGAGAAGTTGGGCGCCGAGGCGGAGGCCAAGCTGCGGCTGAGGCGACGGAGTTCCGAATGGCCGAGCGGGCGGTGAGTCCGAGCGGGCGGTGACGTGCGCTGAAACACTTCCCGAAGATTCCCGAAAAGAGGACACCAAATCGGGGATGGATGGTTTTCCTTGGGGTCATTCCAATTCTCATTTCCTGCCCATGGCGCCAGCAAATTCAGCGCCCGTGAGATTCAAAGATCAACGTCCTCAGAACCGAAGCCCGGGTAGATGAAAGTTTGAGGCCCAACCCGTAAATGGGTGCCGCCACTTTTTTTTAAACTCCTTACATGGTTCTGAGTAGACCATTTTAATGCCAGGTTTTGACTCTGACTCATGAGCCCAAGATCTGCAGCCCCGAAGCGACATTCAGATAGTGGGATTGGAGTCCCACTTTCGTCGCAGAAAGCAGCCTGTTTCCACAAGTCTACAAGAGAAGAACTGCCACTGGTTCACCGAATGAATGGGGCTTAGCCTGAAAAAGACAAATACCTGCCTAGAGTCTCCATAACCCCTAGGAAAAGGGGGTCATGTTAATCCTTAATTTTTCATCACCAACCATTTTTAAAGGGTCACAAGGAGACTCCACGTCTCCATGCTTGAAGCCCAGGCTAGGAGGCTGCCACTTGCCACCAGGCTTCCCGTTCCGCGGTTCTTCGGGGTTGCTCCGAACCTAATTGCCAGAGGCGAACACAAGTGGGTGTGTCTTTTTTAGGCTACCCTCCCTAAAATGGGTGGTTGAAATTGGTTTCCCCAACCAACCCAAAAAGGGACCCTCAAGAGAAGACACGCCCAAAGGGTTTGGGGTCCAAAGTGGACATCCAAAAAGAAATGAACCCCAACAAAATCTGGAGAACCGTCAAATGAAGCTATGAGTTTTCATAAGGAACCTTCTCAACAGCGAGACAAAAGTCTCCCACCTGAATGCTGCCGGTGGCTTGTTCTTGGTAGGTGGGTGCCCTTTCTTTTGGAGGTGTTGAGAGGAAAACCACAAGGAGCACCACCTGTGTGGGGGTCCAGCCTTACTGACCCATCCTTGCAGTTCGCTGCCGTCCAATTCCTTCAGTTTTTAAGTTTTGCCTTGGTTTTGTGCGGGTTTTTTCCGTCTTTCATCCACTACCTGGATCCCCAAGTAGCCACATTTTTCCAGCCACTTTACTCGCTAGTAGCCCATCATTTGGCAAGGGTAGCTGGAAAATAAGGGCCTCGCTGGGGATCCAGGTAAGAGTTGTGATTTTTTTGCCGGGGATCAGACCAACGGACACCCCAGCCGCCGGCTCCATAGGCAGGAGGCGAGCCTCGAGGCGCTCGAGCAGGGCGCAACGGAGGTGGAGCCTCAGGTTGCAAAGGCCATGTGGGGTGTGGGGATTGGATCTTTAGGCGGTTTTCAGAAACACTACCTACTGCTTCTTTTGGCGTGGATTCCCCCTTTATTTTCAACCATCCTGCTTTTCAAACAACCACCGTTTTCAACCTGGAGGGGTTGATTCAGGGCTTTTCGATGAGCTCCTGCTTCTCCTGGCTAAGTCAAAGCGGTGTGGCTTGGAGTGGTTTGGAGGGGTTTGGTTCTGGGGGTTGATTCCTTTTCCATTCTTGTCAACCATCCTGCTTTTCAATCAACCACCGTTTTGAACCTTGGTTTCCAGAGGTTAGAAAGAAGGATCCCTGGAATGGGGATACCCGTAGAGGTGTGTCGTTTTTAGGTTGGGTCCCCCCCCAAAATGGGTGGTTTTCTTGTTGGTGTCCCCTTAAAACCACCGGTAATTGCCCTCGAATAATTTGAACGACATGATTCATATCCCTTTCCACATCCCCATCGTGTTTGCTGGGGATGTGATTTAGACAAGGTTACGGAGATCACATCACCTGTTGGGGATGTAAACGGGATGTGAAGTAGTTCGTTAAACAAATGGTTGGTCCTTTTGGTGTTTGATCTTTAAAACCACAAGACATACTCTCCGAAGAAAGACACACAATCCGTATGGGCTCGGTCTTTTGGCAAAGCTATCCTTAAGCTGAACCATCTACCCCCCAAGCACTGCTTTGTGGCCAGTGCTTGGGACTATGTAAGTCCCCCAGTAGTGCCCTTTTACCTATTTTGTTTTTCCCCGGAGGGTTCCCCTACTAAAATAGACTACAGAAAAAAGGGTACCCTTATTCTAACCTCTCTACTGGAGGACCTAGGGGAGTTTGGACCTGGGAAAAAGCCGTTGATGGTGTTACTTGGAGACTGGGCTAAGGAGAGCCTCATCCGGAACATCCAGGAGGCGGGAGCCGTCCGCCCAGCGAGGGGAGTTTTCTTTGTCATGTGAGCAAGACCATGGTGTAAGGCGAAGACTGGGATCCACTTTTTGGCTACCCCAAGATGGACTCGAAGGGGTGGCTGATTTTCCTAAGGAAACGCCTGAGTTTAAGTCCAAGTTGAGATTGCCAAAAAGTGGAACCCTGAATGGGGATGGTGTCCCAATCTTAATTGCTTCTGGAACGAACAGGCATAGTGGGTGGCTCTTTTTGGGATAGCAACCCAACATGATTTGGCTGTGGGTCAAAACCAATGGTACATGTTTGGTAGGTGCACCACCCATTTTAGTCTATTTTAGTGGGGATTGGGATGTTCGCTGGGGGTGCGTGATTTTGACCCATGGCCATTCCAGCCACTTTGGGCACAAAAGGGGCAACCAATTGCCACCAACCCATTCTACACGTGTCTCCCCTACTGTTGACCCCGGATGAATAAGCGCCTGCTTATTAATATGGGGGTGTTCCCCTCCAAAAGTGATGAATCACCACTAAAACCAGGGACACCCCCATATTAATAAACAGGGGTTTCTCAATCTGGGTGTCAACATTCTCCAAAACAGTTGCGCTGATGAGGTGGACATGACGTAGATGTTGACCGCAGAAACTGACGCATCGGTCGGATGATTTAGCAGGCGCCAGCGCCAGCGTTGAGCTTCCCTCTAGTTGGTGGTTTTGGATTGGTGGTTTGGTGGTTGGGAGTGGTTTCCCATTTATCCTCTAAAGATCAAGGGGTTCAAATTTCCAAACCAATCCAAGCCCCCAACCAAGGGTTACCTGAAACCTTCAGAGCGGGATGAATGAAATTGCACGTTTCTTCGGGGAAAGCCGTCAATGTGGAGGTTTAACTCTCATTTCGTTCCTGCTGCGGGAACAAATGTGAGTACCCAAAGGGAGTATGCATGTGTATTTTACGATATATTCATGTTTGGTACAACATGCTCATGCACAATGTTGTTTGCTTTATTGTCTTTTTTTGTCTCTCTCTCTCTCTCTTTCGCTCTCTCTCTCTCTCTCTCTCTTTTCTCTCTCTCTCTCTCTCGTTGTTACACATCACAAGGACATTGTATATCATAATGTATACAGACACTAGTCGCGTTTGGTCAATAAAAAGCGTGTACAATAGTGTGTACGTGCGTGCGTGCGTGCGTGCGTGCGTGCGTGCGTGCGTGCGTGCGTGCGCGCGTGCGTGCGTGCGTGCGTGCGTGCGTGCGTGCGTGCGTGCGTGCGTGGGTGGGTGTGTGTGCGTATAAGCATGTTGTTTCCGTTTGGTGGCTACGATCCGATTCGGGGCTCGTCAGGTGCTATCAGAGGCCCAAATTGAGGAGGCTCAGCTCAACGAGTTGCAGGCGAGAGTTCTGGGCGGAGGCGGTGTTGCTTTCCCTCGTCTTGTGTCCTTTGAGTGTGACCAAGTCGCCCCTCATACCTTTTTTGAAACAGGTGGCTTTTCATCATACCTACAAAAGGTTAGCCCTTTTGCTTAGTGGGGAATAGCAACCCAGTTTTGTTTGGTGTAATGAGAAGCCCGGATTTCAGCTACCAAGGGGGGGTGTAACAAAGGTGATCCCAATAGGGGACACCTTCCAGAGTTTTATTTATCCAGGCTTCAGATTACGTGCCAGTGTTGTGCTTGTTGTTGTAGACCAGCTTTGGAAGTGCTAGTGTCCCTTTGTTGTGGTTTGTATGTTTGATTCTATGCTTGTTGTAAGTGGAAGTGGTGTTTTGTGTGTGTGTGTTCTTTGGCGCAAGTTGTACTTGGAGTTGCTGGCTGCAGCATTGGTGTTGGTTTTTGTTGCATTTGGGTGAGCCAACATGCAATTTCTAGCATATGTGTACAACTCTGAAGCCTTGCTGCAACTTTCCCACCTTGCCGTGGATTGCATCTGCCAAAGTAGCGAGTTTACCTGAACGTAAAGTGGAGCAAGGGTTGCTCCTCAATTTCAGGTTTGACAGCATGATGCATCTTGCAGATTGTATTCGCTCCATTGTTTGGTTGCGTAATGGGTTGGGGTCAAGCAAAGCCCTCAAACGGACATTCGCCAAAACGGGAGTTGCATATTTGGTGCAAAGCCGAGTTGTCCAGAGGTACTTCGTTGTTCGGGTCCCTTACAAACAGTTCACATTGACCCACTTGTTGAGTTCCACTGGTTCGCCGTTTTGCTTTGTTGGAGTTGAATCGTGCGTTCGCTCTTGTTTTCTTTGTTGGAAGACCAACCCAAAATGGAATCAACACCAAAACAACATTTTTTCCCTTTGCTGCTGGGATTGCTGAACAAGTCTTTTTTCCAACAGCCAGGCAAACCCACCGAAGAGAAAAAACGATTAGCTAAATGGACAAAATTTGGGGATTTACCAAATTTATTGGCCCACAAATGAACATGGGTAGCTTTAAAAATTTAGTGGGACATATAATATTTGTTGTGGTTCCCCGGATCGTCATACCATGTAGAGGACCTTGTGCTCAACCCCCATTTAAACAATCTGAACAAACACAAATATAGTTCAATCGAATCGAGTGCACGAAAAATAAGTAAAAAGGGGGAATGAATGATAAAATAGATAAACATAAATCATTAAATAAATCAATAAACAAGCGAAACAATCAACATGGAAATCGAAAAAGGAAAGCTAAAAAACAACAACGTCATAAAACAATCAAAGACAAAACAAACACAATAAAGAAAGACAACAACAAAGAAAGCAACCGAGAAACAAACACACAAACAAAATACAAAAAGAAAGAACAGCCCACTGGGAACCAGCTGACGTGTGAACAAAAGGGGCCCCTCTGGTTATTGGTTTCATGTTGGTCTCCGTGGGCCAAGGAACCCGAATGGAGGGTTCTTCCAATTTGTTGGGGTCCCCTCAAACCCCTTTGCCCATTGTCTTCAAGGATCCTTCTCTTGGCTTCTGAACTGCGCCATTGTTTGATCAATGGGGATTGCCCCGATCCACTCCGCTCGCCATGAACCCACAAGGTGTTCAGTGGGTTCCCCCATCCGTTTTGCTTGGTTCCCCACAAATGGCATATTGACAGATAGGAGATCTAGTGCGGGGAATCCAATGGTGCTATTGGATTTGACCTGGGATCACCTTGAACAGATTCTTGCCGTATCTACTATTGAAACTGTATACTGGTACAGGAAATCAGATATGACCTGTGATCTTGTCCACGCGTGAACATTCTGGGTGTGCCTTTTGTGGGGTCCCCCTTTTTTGGTTTCAAAGGGACACCTAAAAGGAAGCGCCATTTTTCGGGGTTCCCCCGCTTTAAGACACACCCAACACTGAACGTTGGTCCAGAGCCCGAGAGGCCCCAACTCCTTAGGCCCTTGCTTAGGCCCACTGGCCACTGGAAAGGTCCCTTGCTTTGTTCAATCAGCCAACCAAAAAGACATTGGCCCCAATCTCATGCCAGAAACAAACCCTCCAAGACTTGTCCACCTGCATTCCACTTCTGTACCAGGTTCTGTCCTCAGGTTCATTTCGTCACTCCTTTTCTTGTTGCATTTGAGGGATGCGCTTCAACCCGAATCTTCGCATGCAACGCGTGCTTCGTCGCAATGGCTTGCTCTTTTCCTTCAGATTCTTCCTGGCTCCGATCGCTCCGAGTGTATCTTTGCAGCTTCCTGGCCGCCCCTTTTTCCGCGTCGGTTGACTTGCGATGCGAGAGATCGGCAGGGGCCCGGAGAAATGGTGTCCGACCCCAAGAAAAACCCATCCCGATTTGGTCGCTTCAGGCTTCACCGAAGGGGTTCATTCCATGTCTCATTCCCCGATTTCGCGATCGCAAGTTGTCAGGGAACCCTAGTTGGTGCTTGGGATGAATTCGAGTTTGGAATTGAACTTCGACTCCCTGGTGCTTGTAAACGGGTAAAATGGGAAGCCACCTAAGCTCTGAAAAAAAGGTGAAAAAATGAAAAACGAGGGAAGCCACCCCCTAAGCTTTGAAACCCTCCAAAGCAAACCACGAGCGAAGCAGAAGTTGGGTATGAGTCAAAATAAACCCACCAGCAAACGGTTTTGGTTCCATTTTTCAGGGTTCCAGTTTTGGTACCTGGAGTCTCCATGACCCTTTAAAAATGGGGTCGTGACCCCTTTTATTTTGGGGAATGACCCACCATTTTAATAAAGGGTCAGAAGGAGACTGCCGCGTCCGCGGATGTCGCCAGTTGGAGCAGCGGGCGCGGCAGCTGCGGGTCCGCGCGCAGCGGCTGCGGATCTGGGTGCAGCACCTGGAGCAGCAGAGCTCCGACCTCCGGGCCCAGGCGCGGAGGGGGGCGTTCCACGCCCCCAAGCCCCTTGAAGGCCCCCAACCCCCCAACCCCCCCCCCCCCCCAACCCAATAAAAAACAACACGGATTTCTTTGCGGGACGCATTTGCCAGTTTAATCAAACACATGTTCGTAGCATCTGCGGAAATTTGCCCGGCATGGGATTCACTGGGATTCTTTCTGGTTTGTGCTTTCTGTCCGGGACTCGAGTCCTTGTGGAGCAAGGTGAGTAGCTACGGGCCTCCGCACGGCCGTGGACCTTGAGCGAGTCATGGTGAAATAGGAACTTTTGGGTCTTCAAAGTTGGAAACATGGGAAAAGGCACATGAAATCAGGACAGTCCATCCAAATCATTCAGAAGCCCAACATGATCCAAACCTGGAACCGTCGCCCCCACAAAAGTGAGGTATCAGAAACAAAGGAATGGGCCTTTGGGGTCTTTGGGTGCTTTGGCTCTTTTTTACTTTTTTTTGCGGTGAAGAGCTTTCTGCTCCCTGGAACCAAATGGGTGTGTCTGTTTTGGGGGACCCCAAAAAGGTGGCTGTCCTTTTGGTTTCCATTCAACCAACCCAACAAATTGGGACCTTCAAAAAAACGGCGTGCCCAAATATCGACCCTGCCGGGGGCTCTGCAGTGCGACTTCCAAGTTATGTTTGGATCAACATGTGGTAGCTGAGCCATCTTCGCCCTCTGAAACGTTGCTGGCAGAAAAGGTGGCAGTCCCTAAGGATTGCCCGCTGGCCGAATGATTTTTCATGGCCACCTTTATTATTGACCAGTTATAAGAGTTGCTCAAGACCATTTGTTAATTTTCCCCTGTTGGTTGTAACGGGAATCTATCACATGTTTATATTTTCCCCCAGGGGCAAACTCGCAAGTGGAAGATTATCACATCAATATGCGGACAGGCAACTATTGATCGTCGCTACTTCCCGCGAGCTGGATGCCCACGCTTTGCACCCCTTGCTTTTCTGGGGCTGGTTGACGTACCTCTAGTTCATGCTGCTTGGTTCCCTGGACATATTCATACAGATTATATACCTTTCTGGGGGATTTCATTCGAATTTGCTGGTAGCAACAGCCAGCCTTTCTTTTGAAGTCCCGAAAGGTTCGGGTCGCATTATTGCAGGATAATCTCTAGAAACTCTGTTTTTTTAACGAACCCAACCTTGCCGGAGGTTCTCCTTTTTGACCTCCTCTAGGCTCATTTGGCCGTGGGTCAACACCAATGGGATGCATTTTGGGGTAGGTGCCCCCCCCTTTTTTGGACCTATTTTAGTGGGGATTGGGATGTTCACTGGGGGGTAACCGGGGTTTTGACCCATGGCCCCACAGCTGACGAGTGCTGCTCACAGTGCTTCATTGAAATCGCGGACCCCTGCAGGCCAGTTTGAACAAGGGACGCCCATTTGAGACGAACCCGTTGGCACAACCTGGTGGTTTAATTTTGACCCACCCCCCATTTGGAGACAAGCGCGCGAATCGCCGCGCGTCGATCGGCGCGCGCGGCCTTCGCTAGGCCGAGCGGAAGGGCCAAGCGCAGCTGGACCAGTTGCGCTCCGAGGCGGCGCTCGCCCTGCGCCGGCGCATGGCGGAGGAGCGTTGAGCCAAATGGGGCGCTCAAAAATTGGCGCTGTCCCCCAAGCTCTCTCCCTGAGTTCATGAGCTTTAAACTTTTTGGAAAGACCGTTTTAGTGGTATTTGAAGCCTTTTTTTTGGGCCATCCACTCAGCAAGTGAGCAAATGGGTTGCCGTGGTAATGCAAACAAGGACGAAAACCTGCGGTCCAATTCCTGGTGGCTTAAGTTTGACGCAATACCCAACATGTATCAGGTAACCCCAATTGGTGGTTTGGATTGGTGGTTTGGGATTTGGAATCTTGGTGTTGGTGGGAAAATGGGAAACTACCCAACCACCAAACCACCGATTCGGCTCCAAACCATCAACGCTGAATTTAGGGGGACGCTGCGTTGTAATTGTATGGCTATTTGGTAACGGATCGTTGGACTTTAACAGGCACTTGGTTGAAACAGTGGGATTTTTCATTTGACCCACAAAAAGTTGAAAACCTGTTGCAGAGGGGTCAACAGTGAGTCAACAGCAGCCAAGATTGGGAAGGTAAGCAAGGGAAACCACTGCCAAAACTTGGTTGAAAGCATAGGGAAACCGATGGAGCCCAAGAACAAATCTTTGGGAAGTCTTCCTTTCAGGCATGTGGTGGTATATCTTGCTGGTTCTCAGTGAGTCAATGACTCCTGGTGAAAGAATTCCACAAGAGTGCCTAGCAAAATGATAGAGCAGCCAACCAAAGGTCCCTTACTTTGGACACCCCCATGTATTCTACCATAAACCACGCGGTGTATAATAGGGTCTTCTCCATTTAGGCAAGTGCTTCTAGTTGGGTAGCCACGGGAGATCACATATCTGCAAAGAGGAAGAAGCCCTAGTAACTATCATTTGGAGCAAGTGAGAAAATGGAAACTGGTTAGGTCCCCACCGGCCCTTCTGCATGTCACCTCTGTTTCTTGCAAGTCGTCAGCTGAACACTCGCTGGTGCAAATGCTTGCCAGGTTGGTCTGAAGTGGGACCATCCACTTCAGAGGAACCCTTTTTGCACAATGACCCCTGAAACCGGTGTAAGGCACACCCCTCCTTCCCTCCTCCCAACAAAACTTGAAGTTCAATCCCTGAACCCGTGGAATTCTCTGGATCGCCAACCTACCAGAGTTAAGGGTTGTTGCTATTTGTCTCAAGATGTTCCTGGAGATTCACCAACAGTAAAGAGTATGGTTGATTACCTGAACAGATTTACCTGGAATATTGTTTGTTAGATTCAAAGTTGCCGAGCCCTTCATAGAATTCATGTGTCAGTTCAGCAGAACATCCCGTCTCAAGACATCTTTCACACAAAACCGTTGAAGCCGGATGCCCAGAAAGGACACATGTAAGAAGCCGGGCAGAACGGGAATCCTTCAAAGGGAATAGGTGAAACTTCTTTCAACCCCACTTGGATGTTCAACTAACTGATCAGGACGTTACCATGGTAAGTGGTGTAACTGGGGTCGTCCGCTTGCCACCTACTTACTAGATGTTCCCAGTGACTCCATTTGCCCATATAGTAGGTATCCCCAGGGAATCAACCTTTAATAACCAAAAGGAAAAACGGTTGGTTACCTACTCACTACCTGAGCTTATGACTTTAAACTTTTTCGGAAGACCATCTTGGTGGCCAACAAAAAGCGTGGTTACTTTTTGTTGCCCGATCCACTCGATCGGGTGAGCCGAGTTTCTTGTGTTGCCTGGGGTTTATGGGGGGTTGAGGTTGTTCAAAGCCGTCCTTTTGACCTTTGGGTTTTCCCATGTTGGTCCATATTTAGTCATGGCCCCAAAAGGTGAACCTTTTAGTTCCAGGTCCTTTGGGCAACTGAGTTCTTTGAACTCAGGAGAAGAAGTCTGCGGCAGAGCTCTTCGAGAGCCTCAACGGCGGGGAATTTTGGGATCGATCGTACCGGGTTTCACCGGACGCTCAATGGGTGGGATCTGAAGGGATGTCTTTAAGCGGCACTCCCGAAATTGAAACCAACACAACGCCCACTCGTTTTTGGATGCCATGGGGAAAGGATCTTTGTTCGACCTCTTGGATTAGATCCTGATTTGCGATCTAGTTTACCTTTTGTCGGGACGCTGGAAGTTGTGGGTCGGAGCATTCTGGGCAAAGCGGTTGGAACCCTCATTGGCAGCAAAACGAGCTAGTTAAACAGTCAGAAGAGATGTTCACCCGAGCAGCAAATTGCAACAGCCCACCAACACAAAATGCCAGCGTTTGCGCGCGAACGGACATCATTCTATCCGTACCTTCCCCGTTATGTTGATGGATGCTTCTCCTCAAAAACTGGCAACCGAAGCTCCGGGCGGTTTTTGGACAGACTGCTGGGGAAAGAGAATGCATTTGTGCGTTGGGGGGGGGGGGCTGTTTTTTTTTGAGAGTATCTTTGGGGGGGTTGTTTAAAGTGAAATAAAATGGGAAACCACCCATTGGTTGGGATCCCCTGTTTTGACATGCATTTGATGTAGTTCATCCGGGGGTGGACCAGGGCGGCCCGTGCTCGTTGCTCTCAAGAAAAAGCCCTGAGCGGCACGCGGGGCAAATGTGTTCCCGGAAGTCCCCGTGATTCAACTTTGAGCAGATAATATTCAATTAAAGAGAAATTATGTTCATGCATTTTAGGGGAATCGCCTCCCCTTGCAGGACCAATCATTTTTATTTATATATATATATATAGTTTTATCAGAGAGCTCCTTTGTCAATTGGAAGGGCAGCCCATCTTTTTCGCCAGGCGGCGGCTCCGTAACCAAAGCCTCTCTGCGGAATTTGGGGGAGGGCAGCGGGGGGTTCAGAGGGTTCAGAGCGAAGCGCGTTCAGAGCAGGTGGGCGTGTTTAGGTTCAACAACGTTACAACTGAAATGCAAGTAAAACGTCATGGGATCCAGGACCCACTTGACACGAGGTTCTTTGAGTGAGAAACAGCCCGGTTTGACTCGCACGAACAGAGTGTATGCGTTGATATACTCTCGGGTTGAACATAGCGAGACAACCTATAAGTGTGGCACGCTTCAATACAGGAGGGACGGGGGCTCCCGTTTTTTTTTTTTTTTTTCACAACATGGCAAGCCCTGTTTTGACGATCCTGTGTGGGGTCTTTATCGCACAAACCGACTCCACCTGAATTGTGGTCTTTGGTGTCTTTCTTTGAACAATTATCCACCCTTCCATGTTTGGAGGGCTGGGAGGGCTGGGTTGAGTAACAAATGCAATGAACCCTGGAGGAGGCTCTGAGGCCTTAAGAAGCTAAGGAACACACTTGGGGGGGGGAGGGGAATCCCCAACTCGCTCAGCGCAGGTTTTTTAGGGAAGGGTCCAGCCCCAAAAGCAGCAGATGCAGATCTGTGTACAACTGCCACGAGCAACCTGGCTGACCAGATGCACATTCTCAATATGGGTCATGCACACACACAATGGGCGAGTACGGGATATCTTGCAAGTTCGTATGTGAAGGCCCAAGTGGGCATGAGGCTTGTGTCAGTCAACTCTATGTGCAGTGACGCTTCTTCCTGAACGGCAAATTGTTATAAACTTGGGGCCTTGGTGTGTTCCTCTTCTCTGGTTAGATGCTCGTAGACTGGTATCTCTACCAACCACAGCGATTCGCGACTCCCGGCTGAAAGATGCCCATTTGCTTCCCAGTTTAACATTGAGCCCGAAAAAAGCACCTGATCCATTTGTTGAATCAGGCAAAAACAAATGCTGGTTGAAGCTGGCCCACGATTTTTGGTTTTGGGGGCCTTTGGTTCTTCCTTGTTCTTAGCTTTCCGATTTCCCGAGTGCCATGGTTGGTCTGAACATGCGGATGTACGGTTCGGGCTCTTGTGCCTTTCATGGACCCAGGTGTAAAGGGTCATGGAGAGTCTAGGCAGCTCTTTTGGGGCGAAAGTTTAATCTACGACAGAAAGATAAATTCGCAGGTCAAGGGATACAAAAAACAAGATCAAACACACAAAATAAAAATAAAAACAAATAAAGCAACATGTGACAGATAAACAATCATGTTTAGAGGTTTATTGTTCAGGAGTTCATTTAGGCTATAATATTTTTAGGGCCCGGATCCGGCGCCGTCGATTTCAGGACCAGTTCCTGGAGCTCCTGGCGGGGCTGGACCTGGACGCGTCGAAGCTCGCCCGGCTCTACGACTCCTCCGCGGGCGCCGGCGGCCTGGAGCGCGAGGCCTTTTTGGCGCCTCGGAGTTTCACCGGGGGAAGGGGGGGGGGAGCCTTGCTGGGAACTGATCTGCGTAAGGAAAAGAACGGAAAAGGGTCCATTTCAAGCAAAAGGAGTTGGCTTTTTTGTGCAAAATGGTGGCTTTTTGGGTTCCATGTGAGTCTGGGGAGTATTCTTGCGGGTTCCTCTACCTCTCGTGATGGTTTAAGGTGTCTGACCTGGTTGTGGCTTAGCCGTTGGTGGTATCCTGGTGGTACTGGACGAAATCCATTTTGCACCACCTTCGAAACCCGTGACGATTCTCCCTACAAATAACAACAAACAATGGTTACAAACCATGGTTTCATTTCGTGCTGCGAACTGATTTCGCCCATCCACTGCATTTTGTTCAGTGCCCCGAATCTAGTGGTCTAGAAGGCATCATCCACTGGAGGTCCAAGGTTAACTCACGGAGAGTGAGTTCGAATTTGGTCACTTTGGGCGGGCTTCGTTGGCCAATCCACGGAAGAGTGTTCTGTGATTTGTCGTTTTCCTGTTTGCTTCGCTTTTCTTCAGGTTTTGCAAGGAGTGCGGTTTCAGTTTTGGTAAGAGATGCTGAGGCGCAAGCTGGGCAAAGTGAGGAGAGTGTGACCTTTGGGCTGGTGTTTTTGTTTCCTTTCACGAGGGTTGTTTTGGGTTTGATGAATTGGTAGAAGTCACCCGAAAAAGCACGGCCTTTTGCCATAACAAAATACGAGGAAGGCGAATTCACCTCACGGCATCAAATGATGATGTAGGAAAATGGTTTGTAAGCGATGTATTTTGGCAAGTGAGCGCTTTCAGCATTTCTTTTGTTTTGGGCTCGATTTCGTTGAACTCCCTAAGCCCCTCAGTCTGCGAAAGAGAGCAGAGGAACGAGCAACGTCCGAAGAACAGGCTCCATGGTTCCTTGCACGTAGAAGCGGTCCAGCGAAACGTTTTCAACAGCGCCCCAAGCTCCAACTTTGGTGCTTGGGATACAATCCAACTTGTGTTATAGGGCAACCCGAAACCTTGTGGTTTCAAGGTCAACTAAAAGGAAAACGAAGGAAATCCATTTGGGGGGGTCTACACAAACTGAAAGTACTCGGTCGGTCGATGGGCCCAAAGCCCCAAGCCCAGGCCACAAGGCATGGCTGTGGCGTGGATCTAAAGGGAAACCAAAAGGACAGCCACCAGCAGCGGGGTCACAACCACTGCTTTTTGGGACTCTGGGCATGGAAAAAGCAGTTGTTGGGGGGTGCTTTCTTTCTTTCTTGGTGTTTCTTGCTTTTCTTTGGGGTCCCCTGTTTTAAAAACACATCCATATGTCCTACGAACTGTGGTGCTTAATATTGCTTTGTCCATTTTGGAAGTGAGTTCATTCGAAGACTGAACTGTGCGTGATCACGGGGGCAAGCAAGACGCAAGGACCCCCCCAGTTGTCCAATTGGGGAAGTGGCACTGGTGGATGAAAATCCGACCAAACTGAAGCAGCGGATTCCACCAACGTATTATCAGCCAAGGACACCCAAAACCTTCCTCAGCTTTTGCCCTCTCCCAACAATAAGAAGCTTGATTCTCGTCCATATGCGAACATTGCGAACCTTCAAATGTTCAACAAGCTCACAAGAGATGCCAGTGACGCTCCCCTGGTAAGGACGACCAGGTTTTGGCCAAGCCCTTGTTCAAGCATCACTCGTTGAAAGGACCTCATTTGTTCAGGGAATGTTTCGCATGCCAAAACGCACGCGGGGACGGTGAAGCTCGTTCCGGGATCGGTGGCTAAAGAAAGTGCCCATCGAGGAGTTGAAACACGACACTCTACCTACGTATCAAGGAGTTGAAAGACAAGACTCTATCTACTAATTCTAAAACAGAAATTCAAAAGAGATGGTGACTATGTCCTAATCCCCCAGCCCTCCCAAGTCCACAGCCACAAAATACCCCTACTCTCTCGCCGCTAGAATCTGGATTTCACTCATTAAGTCAGTATTTTACTCCCTCCCTGAGTTGGACGTGACAAACTTTTTGCGAAGACTTAGCTTTTGATCCGCGGCAGTGACAGCCATTATTCAGCCATGGGCAGCACTGGCTTGTCTTTTTGTTCCATTTCGTGCCATCGATTTTCGCGAAAGGGCACATGTATGCCTTTTCCGTCCTCAAAAGTTGGTCAATGTACGGGTTGGTTCTAATTTCATAGTGCCATCGATCTTTTCGAAAGAAAAAAGTCGAAGCCCACGTCTTCCCCTGGCTTAGCCTATGTTTTTCTGTTCCATTTGGCGCCGTCTATTTTCCCAAAAGGACATGCATGTCTTCAATTTACGGGTTAGTTCTAATTTCATTTTGCGCCATCGATTCCCCCCCCCCCAAAAAAAAAGAAAAAATAAAGGGACACCCACTCGTCCTCTGGCTTAGCCTTCCCCGCCCATTTGGGTGTCAAGGACTTGGTGAAGGTCTACTACGTCTGCGTCAAGCAGACCTTGATGAACGAGGAGCTGGGCATCAAGTCCAAGAGCCTCCGGCGCCTGGAGCTCCCTGGAGAAATCACCCGAGTTCCCCGCGTGCCCCGCGTGCCGGGCCCGACGGCTGGCGACAGACATATCCATTGTGTTGGTCAATATGGCTGTGGTCAAAAGAAATATGAGCCACGTCCTCAAGACCTAGAAGGTTAAGGGACAATCCCAAGCATAAATAGCTGCAGGCTGCGGATATCCGCCTTCTTAGTTCTTGAAGCATGGTTCTGGGTAGACTATTTAATACCGAGTTTTGATTATGACTCATATCATGTTAGAGTCAATATGGCTGTGGTTGTCAAAACCGTTTTGGGATCCCATTTTGGTTGGTAGGTGAATTCACCCCCCATTTTAGAACCTATTTTAGTGGGGATTGGGATGTTAACTGGGGGTACGGGCTTTTGACCCATAGCCATATATATAAAGAAATAAATATACATATATATATATATATATATTATACTGTTGACGGACAAAATCCTGCACCGCTTTCGCCACGGTATACCAAAGCCCTTGCGCTCCCCATTTAACCTTGGAAGCCAAAGGGCCCGAAAGGTTGCAAACATGCGCAAGCGAAATCCTGCACCACCGCTTGCGCATGCCAACAACATTGAAAAGGGGGAGAGGGGTTTGCAGCCTGTTCAGTGGCAAAGTGGTTCCGTCCGTCAACGGACTGCACTGCTGTTTTCAAACAACCCTTGCGTGCAACGCGTTTGCGCTAAGCGCGGCAGTAAGCGCTTTTTGAACACTGCAATGCGCACTATGGTAACACCACATTGTTCAATGTAGTGTTCAATGTAGTGTTGACTGTAGCGTCTGACCCATCGCTGAATGCAACGTTCTGCCACTATGCGCAGGAACCCGTGTTGACTTGACAAGTTGTGCGACTTTCCTGAGTCGTGTTTGAGTTGTTCGCTGGTCATCGCATAGCCGCTGAAGAATGAAGCAATCCGGAAAACTGTTTTCCGACAGAGCTAACGTGACAAATCATTACTGTTGGCGGACGACATCCTGCACCGCTTTCGCACGGTTTGCAAAAACCTCGCGCTCGGAAGCACAAGGATTCGAACGGCCTCAACGGAGCACTGGGTTTTGCCACGTTTTGCCCTTGGTAGGTTGCGGAGAGCAGGTAGGTACTGGGCCATCAAAGGGACACTCTCACCATGACCCTTGAAATTTCCGACCTTGCCCCTCCAACAACAAAACTGTTGACTTTCAGGAACTCGATAGATTGGGTGCCTCAGGCCTACGTGATGGACAAACTCCACCAGAAACGATACGTCGTATGAATGCTACAGGGGTCTCACATGGACGGTTCGGTCAAAGTCCGACACTGGCTTCGTTCAACGCCTGGACCTACCAACTAGGGCAGGAATTTGTCCAGCGTGTGGATCTGATCTTGGGGTTCCCTTGAAGCCCAAGCAGTCTGAAAACAAGGCGCCAAACGAACCCACCACGTCATTGCTTTAAATTGGCGCGTGCTTTCCTGATGCACATCACGTACATGGAGCTGAACCAACGCACACAAAACGCGTCACCCACCATACGAAATCCTGCACCACCTAAGAAACCCCAGAATGTTGATTCCGCTCTAAATGGTTTCTCATGGTTTCAAAGTGGTGCAATTTCGTCCATCCACAGTAGGGCATCTCTTCACATCTCTTGGGTCGCTCGCTTTACAGCTGAGAGGCTTAGAGAGGTGCTGGAAGCCCTGGAGGGCCCTGAGAACGAGGAGGGGGGGGTGTAGGGAGGGGGGAGAGGATGTGGTGAAGAGTTCATGGAACACATCTAGGTCCGAAAAGCATGTTGCGGATTCCCTTTTGGTTTCCCTCACATCAGAAAAGGAAGCTTCTAGGTCCCCCAGTAGTGCCCTTTTACCAACTTTTTTGGGGGAGGGTTCCCCTACTAAAATCGACTACAGAAAGAAAGGGGTCTTTGGATCTGAAACGGTAGATGCTCATTTCTATGGTGTTGACGGATTCATCCAGGGGTTGCCCAAAAACTGAAGGATGGGGAGAGGAAAGGGACCCCTTTGTGGGATGATGCTGATCAAGACCTTGTTTCACTCCGACTCCACGGAAGTGAGAGCAGGGGCGCATTCTCCCCGGTGTCGAAAGACCCATACAAAAATGCTCCAAGTCTACCAACAACAAACTCATCATCAGGTTCGGTACAGGTTGTAGGCAAATATAGCCTAGGTTGATAGCCATTTGCCATAACCTAGTCCCGGGTTTCAAACCACCATGAGAGCAAAGGTTATTTTTTCAACCACCATTACCTACGAAAAGGGAGTTCCGTCCTCCAAGTTGGGTCCTTGCCATTCTTTTCATGGGGGCAAGACTGGAAGACCCCAGCCACGTTGCTAACTCCTTGACCCAAAGCAGGGGTCACAGGAGGCAACTGGAGAGAAGCGGAGCGAAGCCCGACAAAGGTTGTTGGCATTGGAGTCGTTTCCCGAATACCAACGACCCCAAGATAAGAAGCGAGTGAAGTCCAACGAAGGCCTACGAAGGCCTTCCCAGCGACCCCTAGATACACCTGCGGATGTGCAGTTACTTGGAATCTGCTCTTGAGCCTCACCGTACCCCGAAGTCTGGCTTAGAGGCCGGGTTTCGCCAGGGATAGATCCATTTCCTCTTTTTGGACCTGCAAAACTGGGAATTTCAATGGACGCCGCCAGTCAATTGATCAGCCCGAGCTTTGGCAGTTTGAGCCATCATGGGGGCTGGGGGGGAAGGGGAGGGGGTATTAAGCTAAGGGCTCCCTCCCCCTTCCCTCCCCCCCCAGCCTCTTTTGAAGCCACACACACCCCGATCGGCTGCTTCACGGCTGCTTCCCGCTTTGGAGGACACGGCCAAGGTGGTGCGCCTGCGGTGCCGTGCTGTGCTCGACGGCCTTGAGGGATGGGTCACCTTCAAAGGCGCGCCGAAACGCAAAAAGCTCGACGTGCGCCCGCCGGAGTGATTCGTCAAGGGTCAAAATGGAAACTCGGGTATCATGGGGGCTGGGGGAGGGGGGCACAAGGGGCTTAATAAGAGCTTATTTGGGCTCCCTCCCCCTCTGCCTCCCTCCCCCCCAGCCCCCATGAGGGCAAAATCAAAGCAGTTGGTTACCGAATTCTGGCCCAGGGTTTCATCCATGTGAACTGAGCCACAATCACTGGGCACGCGAAGGTTAGCAAGGCACAGGCCCCTTGCCAGAAATGGGTGCGGATATCTGCCTTGGTACCTCTTGAAGCATTGTTTTTCGTACGATTCGGTTTTGAATTTGACTCGAGTAAGCCCGCAAAGACCTCTGCCGAACATGAAACCTACTGTGGATGGTTGCGAAATCCGTTTGCACCACGAAATCAAACCATTTTTGAAACCACCATAACGTTGGTTGGTTGGCATGTACAGGGGAATCGTATCATTCCAGGGCTTCTTGGTGGTGCAGGTTTCGTCCATCCACAGTAGGAGCATTCTGGATTTCGCAATTGTCCGTCCAAATGTGACCCTTTGAGGTGGGTTTCATTTCGGAGGGTTTACTTTTGTATGTATGGGGCGTAGTTCCCAGGCTGCGAATTGACTCCGCTTGTTCCAACTCTGGGTGTTTGCCTCTCTTGGTGAGTCATGAGAATGTTTTTTCCAGAGTGCTATATCCCGTATTTTCCAGCCCCTCGCCAACTTGCCTGAACATCCCAGCTCCCCACATGGGCAGAGGGTTTGTTGGGCGATGTATTCCTTCAGTATTCTGAAGCTTGTCTTCCGCGCAAGCAAACCTGGTGGCGCGGGGGGTGGGATCGGATCCTGTAGGCATTCCGCGTCCATTCCAAAGAGATCCATTCGGGAGGCGTGCTTTGCCAGTCCTGAGAGTAACTGGCGAATGGCTGCGCGGCACGCGAGGCGCACGAACTGAATAGGTCCGCGTAGCCATGCCTCCAGCGGCTTCCAGCGTATTGTTTTATCTACCAAAACTACCCGGGGAAGGCAAAGGTGCCCCGGAAATTTGCCTTCCCTTTCCCCCTAATTTCAGGTGCCAGGTTGTCCACGTCCCCTGACTGTTGGAAGTAAGCCATGTAAACCAGCGACCGCCAAAAGAAACGCCAGAAGAAGTGATAGTTTCCTGGCTACCCTACCCTTTTGCTGTTGGTTTGAACTTCTCACCGCGGTTAGAACAAGATTGCGCCCGCGTAATAAATGCTCCTTAGTTTCTACTGAATCATCAGCAGATGTGTTCACTTGCCCCGAAAGCAGAAAATCCCATGTTTTTTAGAATCAAGCTGTTGTTGTCCTGGTGCTAGGCCTAAAGGAAGATAATGCCTGATGACTTGTCAATGTTTATCATTTTGTGGCCCATATTCGCAAGCATTGTCTCGAAATGGGGACCGCCCCGAAAAGCATGTCGCGGATTCAGTTGGGTTTCCCTCACTCAGGTCCGAACAGGAGCCCTCCGAAAAAGCCCTTCTAGGTCCCCCAGTAGTGCCCTTCTACCAACTTTTTTTGGGGGAGGGTTCCCCTACTAAAATAGCCTACAGGAAAAAAGAGAGAACATCGGGTACCCCCTTATTCTATCCTCTCAAAGCGGGAGGACCTGGCCTTACTTCGTCTCTGCCAGAACCAAGAGGTACCCTCAGACCAACGAAAGGCGTCGCGGCTCGTGCGGCTCTCGACCGGCTCGGGCCAGGCAACCAGGGCACTACCTTCCTGGAGCCAGGCCGGCGGGACCCGTGGTGCAGGAGCAGGAGGGTGGGTTACCCTGAAAGAATCCAAAAGAGTGGTTGGCACGGGAAAGAAAACAAGCTGGTGCCGGCACCACACGAAAAAGATGGCACCTAAAGAAAGAACGGTTGGCACCTGAAGAAACAATGGTTGGCACCCAAAGAAAAATATGTTGGCACCTAAAGAAAATATGTTGGCACCTCACGAAAAATTACCTAAAGAAAGACCCGTTGACGCCTAAAGCATAAGAACAATGCCTGAAACCTAAAGAAACAATGCTTGGCACCTAAAGGAAGAACGCGTGGCACCTAAAGCTTGAAACCTCAAGCGAAAATGGTTGGCACCTAAAGAAATTGTTGGTTGGCACCCAGCAAAAGAATGGTTGGCACCTAAAGAAACAGTGGTTGGCACCTAAAAATATCATTAGCTGGCACCTGAAGAGAAAGTGGTTGGCACCCAAAGAAAGTATGGTTGGCACCCGAAGAAAAAATGGCTTGCACCATGACACAGCGCGCCTCAATTGATTGCGATTTTCAGCGGGAAAGCGGACGTCCACTCGGGAAGCGAGAAGTAGAACCCCAGCTATAGGTCCCCCAGTAGTGCCCTTTTTCCCTTTTCTGGGGGGAGGGTTCCCCTACTAAAATAGAGTACAGAAAAAGCTTTATTCTAACCCCTCTACTGGAGGACCTAGCCAGGGTTTCTTTCTTCAATCCCAATCCGCATGTTGGAAAGGGACTTTGAGGGATACAAAGGAGGCCGATCTCGTGCTTTGAAAGCGCCTTTGACACGATGGGCAACGAGGACATCAAGCACATAAACACCAAATCACAATTTCCTACATGGGAATTCACCCAAAATTCCGTGTCATCAGGACACGCAAGGAATATTGCATGTGTCTCATCTGGCTCCAAATTGGCACCCTGGTGAATGGAGACAATGACTAAAACCTGTGGTCCCCCGGTGGTTTAATTTTCACCCATACCCATCTGAGAACACATCTACTTGAAGTAAATGAGCAATTGCGGGGCCTAGTCACATGCGCCACAAAAAAGACAGCTGGGCAAGAGAAGGTGCATGAGGGGCAGTCCCAGCTGTTGATACCTGGATCCCCAGTTGCCCTTATTTTCCAGCTACTTTTGCCAATGGGCTACTAGTGGGTAAAGTGAGCGAGGTGCAACAGTTTGAGAGCACCTTTGCTCTCCTCGGGACGGGTGCTTCTTTCATTCTCCTTCATGTTTCAACATTGCGCGTTTGGCATGAGAAGAGTTGGTCCAGTCAAATGAGGGGATGTGCAACAGGGTTGAAAGCATGAGCCACTTTTCTGTTCTTTTTGCCTGGGAATCAGTCTTTGGGGGATCGCCCGCCTACAGGAATTGTTTGGCTTGGTGAGTTCAACGCCTGGAGGTTCGGCCAAGTTAGATGGGTAAAGTTATATGGCGGGTCAGGGATCCCCATTTTGGTTGGTAGGTGAATTCACCACCCATTTTAGAACCTAGTTTAGTGGGGATTGGGATGGTCACTGGGGCTACGATTTGGATTTTGACCCATGGCCATATGTTGAATCCACTTGTACGGTACGCTTACAAGGCACCCGTCTAGTGGAGTTAACCTGGGATAGAACCCCAGCCGATTTTTCCGAACATAGCGGTTGTCCAGGTGGGCGGTGCTACCAGGCCCTGAAGGACACGGAGATGACGGAGGACATGGGTCCGCTGGTTTTGGAATTTTCGGGGTTGGAGCAAGCACCAAACTCAGTGTCGGGAACCTTCACTCTCCTAGGTCCCCCAGCTAGGTGCCTTTTTTACCCCCTTTTTGGGGGGAGGGTTCCGCTCCTAAAATAGACTACAGAAAGAAGGGTACCCTTATTCTAACCTCTCTACTGGAGGACCTAGTCTCACAACACAAATACAACGCACAACAAAGAACTCAAACCAGTTGAAGCCTTCCCTAGTGGCGAAGCCAAATCCTTTGCGAAGGGCTTCCAGTGGCACAGAGGTTCGGGATATCGACCCCTTGAAGATGCCGGACACCGAAGCCATCTATCTCAAGTCAGTCAGGGAGGCTGATGACTTCAACTGGGGCTCCTCTTAGGCATTTAGTCTCAGGGTTGATTCCGATTCCATTCTCTTCACCCGTTCTCAGCCAACTGTGGCTTTCCAAAACCCTTTGTTGAGAAAGATCCTTCACGGGGAAGTGCAGCTGGATTTTGCGTCGGTTGCCCGGGGACGGCAGGTTGTTTGGGAGAAAAAAAGACATGGTATCAACTGCAAGTAGCCTTGAAGGCACGCTTTTTGTTGAAACCCCCAGCACAAATGCATTTGTTTAGTTGGAAGGTTGAGGCAAAACCCCTTTTCAATTCGGAACTTGAAGGCAAGCATCTGTTTTTGCTTGCAAAATCAAATCGATGTACAAACCTTTTTGTTTGCATCCAGGCACCATTAAACAAAGACAGCAAATAGAAGTTTGACATCTTGAAAGCTTGGCTCCGGACAAGTCAGTTCGAAAGAAGAAAGGATCCCTCTTTTGGGCCCATCCCCCTCCCCACCATTCCGCTACTTTGATGGATCTGTGTGTTGGGTTTGGTATTCCTTTTCCCAGTTGCCCAGTGGGTTGCTTCCCTTTTGCTCCTCTTTTTTTGGGAAGGGTTCCCTTCAAGCTCCACCGGCCGAAAAACCAGATGCCCTTCTTTCTGGAAATCCGCTGGGCATCTGAGTTTTTGGTCCGTGAAGTCTTCCTCTTGTTTTCCCGAGAGCATCTCCCGGGGATGGAAAAGCTGTCTTCAGTCCTTGCCCTAAGAAACAGGAACGTGTACTACAGTGTACACACAGGGTTACATGGGAATTGAGGAACTCACTTGGCCGTGGCTCAAAAGCATGTGCCAAAATCGCACCTTGGTATACCTTGGTAAGTGGAACCAAAGACTAAAACCTGCGTAAGCCTTTGAGCCACACCCATTTCAACATTGCCAAGGAAGCGTAGACACACATGAGACATACCTCTTTGGAACTCGACATTCCAATTGAGAAAAAGAAGCAAGTCCCAACTGGACGGACAGTAGTCTAGGGGTTGATTCCCTGTTCTTTTCACCCATCGTTCTTTTCAAAAACCGGATCCGTTTTCCCCGGGTTTTTAAGATGGTTTCCTGAGAAGAAGCCGCGGAAAAGCAAGTCCGAGGCTCCAGGAGGCCAGTGGTGGTTTTCCCGTTACAAGTAAAGGGCAGTGAAATACCATGGGACCAAAGGAGTCAAACCGAGTTCCAGCCAAGCTGCTGCTCCCTAGCTGAAAATGGCGACTTTTTAAAAGGGGCGACTTTTCCTGCATCCAACTAACGACGTGTTTTTCCTGCAGGGTTGCAACTAGACAAGTTCCCTTCACAGTTCCAGATAGCAGTGCGTTTCCGATTCCAAAAAAGAGGTGTCTTCCATCGACGCGGGTTTCTTTTGGCTCCTGCTCGAGAATGGCATCGCCAGGTTGCTTCCTTCAAACCTCTTGGCCCCCGGAACGGCCAAACCTCCCCTCAGGTTTGGTCTCGCTTTCCCGGAGACCGAAAACCAAATAGGTCGCCCTTCAGGCCCAAACCCAATCCCTGCGCCCAAGAGGACACCAAGCCTCCTTTTTCTTAAGAATATATTTGTTTGCTTCCCCTTGTTGGTTTTAGAGGGGAACCTATCCCTGCTGGATATGTTTTCCCCATTTTGTCCAGCGCACGTATATTCGCAAACAAATAAGCAAACCCGTGTTTTTTTTACATGGGGTTTGACTGCTTGGGCGCCCGCTAGGAGCTGGATGCCGGCAGCGCGGTCACGCGCAAAGTCTCCAGCGGGGAGGTCATCGAAGTGCCGCTCGGATCGGCGCAAAGATAGCGAAGGGACTTGGGGAAGGAACCCTGTGGATGGACCAAATCCGGTCGAATCATTTTAGGGTTTCTTAGGTGGATGGATTTCGTCCATCAGTATTCCCTAGGAAAAGCCAGAGGGGAGGTGGTTTTTTTCCTTCTTTCTTTGTCTTGTTGGTTTTTCTCTTCCTTTTTTCCTTCTTTTCTTTTCGGGGTCATTCCATGTCTCATTCCCTGAACACCAGCAAGTGTTTGGCCTCTTTCCAATCATGGAAGTGGACGATCAGGGCTTCCGGAAAGGAAAAGTAGTCTTCCAGAAGCCTCCTGGCAGCTTCCATGATTGTTGGACGGTAACCTCTCTTCTTGGTGTCCCTTTTAGTTGAAATCAAGTACCCTCCCACCAATAAATATGGAACCTGAGATCCGGGGAGTGCTAGTTTGGCCCACTTTCCTCTTGAAGGGACCCCCAAACGTCGGGTTCCTAATTGGTGGGAGGGTGCCAAAAACAGCTGCTTTTTATTCCCATGGTCACACCACTTGGGATGCATGAACCCTACAAATCTTGGGATAGATTGGAATAAACCACCTATGCGTACCAACTGATGTAGGATTTTGTCCATCTGCAGTATGATTCAGGTCCGTTACTCGGAGAAATTCAATGAATTTCAAGTTTGGAACTATTGAATGCTGCTCAGAATGATGCCAATCCCGGAATCAACCTCGCAGCTTGGTCCCCAAAACGTGGTTTCCGGATTACCTGTCAAACGAAGCACACCCGTGTGAATCAAACACGCGGGTATGAATCTTGGATGCCCATTAGACACTTCCTGACAAAACCCGTGGAACAAGTAATGTTGACCCCGGATTAATATACCCCTCTTTATTAACATGGGGGTGTTCCCCTCCAAAAGTGATAAATCCCCACTAAAACCAGGACACCCCCATGTTAATAAACAGGGGTTTATCAATCCAGGGTCAACAGTACAATCTCTCCAAGACTTCAAGTGGGCATGGGTGTGGAAGACCAAGAATCGCCATCTCAAAAAGGCTGCTGCTTGCATCCACGATGGGAGAAGGTAGAGTTGAATGGAATTAGAAGGATCGCAAGCCTGAGGGTGCTGAAGCGGATTCGTAGCCTCGATTGGGCAGATGCAAAGCTCAGTGACAGGGGTGAACAAGAAACAGGTGGTGCTTGCTTTCTGGAGTCACGCGAAAATCTGTGGCTTCCATTTGGAGGTTGAAGCAACAAGCATTGGTCCCGGAGCACCCCTTCTGACAACGCCATTTGAGCGCCCAAACCCCCCCATTGGCCATGTTGGTAGGTTCTACTACCTGGTTTCATAAGGGCTATAGTAAGTCTCATATAAACCTTTATAACTATCTTAGTCGAACCAAAAGTCAATGGATTTGCCGCTGCTCAACTTGAGGAGCCTTCTCATGTGCAGATTTCTTGAGAATGGTCCCAACGGGCATCTTCCATGGCAGGTTAACGGGGCCTCATTTGCTTGACTTGTTTGGGGCTCGAGAAGCTGACAAGATCTAGTCCTTCCATGCAACACTGCCTGGAAGAAACCAAACAAATATCAAAGCTTACCTATGTGCATGACGACCAGCCAATAGGGAACATAGAGGTTTTTATATTTGTTAGATGTGATTCTCACTCTGACTGTTTGGTCATTGATTTTGGTCATGCGTCATTTTCAGCCGAAAGCTGAAGCTATCATGACAGGAGGTAACAAAACATCTCACTTCCGGAGGAGTTCCGGGACTGTCGACTTGTTGGGAAGACCATTTTAGTGTTACACACAAAGTTCAGACTGTTTCTGGCTAACTCACTCCAGTCCCAGACTCAATGACCAATCAAAGTGGTTACATTGCCAGCCACAATCAGGAAATGTTATGTGAATGAAAGGAACAGATGAAGCCCTGAGTTGGTTTTGAGCGCCTTGATTTTGCCCTCAGAGATCGCTGCGGCGCAATATGCCTTTTCGGCGAAGATGGTAGCTTTGTCATTGAACAGCTGAATGTGTCCTAATGGGTGGTTTGCATTTGTGTGTATGTGTCAAAGTTTAAAAATGGGAGACCCCCAAAATGCTGGCGTTCCTTGTGCCCCTTTAAACCCATCAAAGCAAAGACAGGCGGACGGACGGACGGACGGACACACAGACACAAACACACACACACACACACCCACCCACCCACCCACCCACCCACCCACCCACCCACCCACCCACCCACCCACGCACGCGCAGGCGCACGCGCACGCGCACGAGCACGCGCACTCCCACGCACACGCACACGCACACGCACACGCACACGCACACGCACACGCACACGCACACGCACACGCACACGCACACGCACCCACACCCACACCCACACGCACACACGCACACACACACACACACACACACACACACACACACACACACACACGCACACGCACGCCCACACACCACACGCACACGCACACGCACACGCACACGCACACGCACACGCACACGCACACGCACACGCACACGCACACGCACACGCACACGCACACGCACACGCACACGCACACGCACACGCACACGCACACGCACACGCACACGCACACGCACACGCACACGCACACGCACACGCACACGCACACACACACACACACGCACACACTCACAACACACACACACACAACACACACACACACACACACGTGCGCGCTCGCGCGCGCCCGCCGCCGACCCGCCCGCCCCGCCCGCCCGCCCGCCCGCCCGCCCGCCCGCCCGCCCGCCCGCCCCGCCGCCCGCCCGCCCGCCCGCTCCGCCGCCCGCCCGCCGCCCCGCCGCCCCGCCCGCCCGCCCGCCCGCCCGCTTGGCCCGCCCGCTCCGCCCGCCCCGCCGCCGCCCCGCCCGGCCCCGCCGGCCCCGCACCCCGCCCGCCGCCGCCCGCGCCGCCCGCCCGCCAGCCCGCCCGCCCGCCGCCCGCGCCGCTCCGCCCGCCCGCCCGCGCCGCCGCGCCGCCCGCCCGCCCGCCCGCCCGCCCGCCCGCCCCGCCGCTCCCGCCCGCCCGCCGCCCGCCCGCCCCCGCCCGCCCGCCCGCCCGCCCGCCCGCCCGCCCGCCCGCCGCCCGCCCGCCCGCCCGCCCGCACCCGCCCTCCCGCCCCCGCCCGCCCGCCCGCCCGCCCCGCTCCGCCCGCCCGCCCCGCCCGCCCGCCCGCCCGCCCGCGCGCGCCCGCCCCGCCCGCCCGCCCGCCCGCCCGCCCGCCCGCCCGCCCGCCGCGCCCGCCCCGCCCGCCGCGCCGGCCCGCCCGCCCCCCCGCCCCCCCGCCCCCCCCCGCCCCGCCCGCCCCCGCCGCCCCCCGCCCGCCCCCCCGCCGCCCCCCCGCCCCCCCGCCCCCCTCCCGCCCCCCCGCCCGCTCCCCCAGCCCGCCCGCCCCCCGCCCCCCCGCCGCCCCCCCCCGCCCCCCCCCCCCGCCCGCCCCCCCCCCCCCCGCCCATGCCCCCCGCCCGCCCGCCCTCCCGCCCCGGCCCCGCCCGCCGCCCGCCCCGCCCGCACGCCCGCCCGCCCGCCCGCCCGCCCGCGCACGCACGCACGCACGCACGCACGCACGCACGCACGCACGCACGCACGCACGCACGCACGCAGGCACGCAGGCACGCAGGCACGCAGGCACGCACGCACGCACGCACGCACGCACGCGCGCGCGCGCGCACACGCGCACACGCGCACACGCGCACACGCGCACATACACACGCACACATACACACGCACACATACAAATTGGTGTCCCTGTTCAGGAACCCCGGTGGGTTTGTCCATTCAGAATTTGTCCCTTTGTTAACTCGCGGCTTTCTTGGCCTGCACTGTATAAATGCCTGCCTCAGGATCGAGTTTGAGAAGCTTCTTGGCAGCAGGCCATTTGCCTTTACCATAGCAAAGCCTTTTGGAAAGGGGTGAGGGCACCCAGTTTGGGGGTGGTGCAGATGATTTTCCGCGTGTTGGCCGGTATATATCGTCTACATGGCGGGTGTGCACAAAGCGCTGATTCTCAAGATCCGTCCAGATTTTCAATTGGGAAACCAAAGTAACACCCACCCATGTTAATTGTTTTCTCAAACATATCGACCCCCCAAGAGGCTTTGATCGAGCTTTTCCTCCGGGAAAACAAGCAACTAAACCATTCCGGACTTCCACCAACGGGACTCGGGGAAGCCCCGCAAGTTTCCCCAACGATTCCCACGCCCAGTTAAAACCCCCCCTAAGAAAGCTGAGTCTCCCTAGGATTCCAACCACAAAGGGACCTTACTTGGGGGTTTAAGGGCACAGTACTGAGAACCAGTAAGCTTGGGGGTCACTTTCTCCGGCGTTCATTTGGTGCTATCACGTGTCTCTTGGGTACTGGAAAGGATGGCATGACAAGACCGAGTCGTTCACTTCAGGGTGGTAGCATTTGGTAGCAGTTCTTCACACACGGCCATGGCCCGTTGCGGGTATCTCTTCGCACACCTTTTCAAGCGGTGTGACACCCACCATTTCAGGGTTCCCTGTTTGAAGACACAGCCATGTGAGACACGGATAGTACTCCGCCAATGATAGCAAGCTCACCTTATCGCGGCAACAGATACGAGTTCAGGCTGTATGAAGATCGCTTTCGTAGGGATGTCTTAACTCAGACAGGTGAGTCTGCTCACTCTTCTGGAATTTCTATGCGGAGAAAAGCCCTCAGATCTTTTGGAGACTAGGCAATTGTCGATTTGAGAGATTCTGACTTTTTGCTCAGCGGGAAAACACTCACTCAGCACTCACTCAGCACTCACTCACACTGATTCAGGGACGACGAGAAGGCCGCTAACAGGGATAACGGGGTTGTATCCCTTCAAGCAGCCACTAAAAGGCTAACCTCCAGCCTCAGACCCTCCGACCAAAAGAGACCCAAGTTCCTTTTGAGGGTAAGTTGGCATTAGCTGGTCAAACGACAGCCTTTGTCCCAGGTTCGACAGGTCGGGATTTGCAAAGATTGAAAAGGACCCCATTTTTCCACTGCCGGCTAGGAAAGTCGCCAATGGTTTCCTTCAAGGGAATCAATTCATGCCCAACAGCCTGGGTCATTTGCTGCTTTGACTCGTTGGTAAAACCAGCCCTCCCTTGTTGTGGCACCCTGGGATTTTGTCTTGCCGAGGAAGGCGGGGGACGCGCGGCGGATCAAGGGCAAGGCGCGCGAGGACGGCGCCTGCGGTTGGCTCACGGTGTCCAACCTCGCCGACACCTTCCTGGAGCCCTGCTGAGCCTTCGAAGCCGGGCCGGTCGGCCGGAAGGTGAGCGCGACCTTCGGCATGCCAGACTTCGCCCTGGCCGAATGTGATGGTAGAGGAACAGAACTTACGTCTTATGATTATATGCATATATCATATATATCATAATACTTATTATTATTTGCATATATATATAATACATCATGTCCTGGGTGGAACATCGACGAGTAGCGGACAGACCCAACCAAGACTTGCCTCAGGAAAAGATCAACACCTTCTTGACAGGGTGGGCTCCTTTTCCGATCGGCGACGAGCGATCCGGCCGGGCTCGAGCAGGGCCGAAGGAACAAGACTCAAGGTCTCAAGAAGTTGCCGAAATGGCAACCGGAGAATCAATCTGACAGAACCCATGGGAATTATTTTTTTAGAGTGGGTGTGGAACCTCATTATTTTGCAGGGGACCCAAACAAAAAAAGGGTGGTTTCCCATTTCCCTCATGATGTCCCCCGTTAAACCACCTGAATGGTACAGTTCAAAGACGCACGCCTAGGTGGTTTTGCCAGTCGAGGACCTTGGCAAAGGGCAAGCCCTGCGAGCGGTGCGAGGTTCAAAGAAAGCCACTAGTTGGCTCGGTGGGGCCTTCGTCATTCTGGACATGTTTGAGCGGTGCCCACCTCTGTTTGCCATATTACTGGGGTCATTAGTTTGACCATGTCTGTGGTTATCAAAGTCAGACCCTGGCTGGTGGTTTCCCTTTAACCTAAACTTGTTTATGAGGCCCATGGTATGATTTTGCAACGATCGGCACGTGATGGGTGGCAAGGCTCTCTGCAAAGGGCCTACCAAGCCCGGCTTTTTGTCTTCGAAGATCGGTCCCACCGTGCCAGACCCATTGGTCCAAGCCGCATCCGAATTGTCGCCACTATGAGAAGAGATTTCGATCCGTGTCCGCGCCTCGAAGCCGAAAGAACGATAAAAACAGGAACTGGCGCGTCCCGGTTTTGGGGTTGTCGAGACGTCCAAAGAGATGGGCCCAAGTTTTGTTGGTGAGCAAACCTAAGACTTTTGCTAGACCAAGAAGCAACATGATTTTTTTGGTTGGTGAGCAAACCTGAGACTTTTGATAGAATCAGAAGTGGGCCCAAATTTTGTTGGTGAGCAAGCCAGACTGCAACAAAGCTGTCAAGAAGGGTCCCTCGAGTGCCGAGCACGCAAAAAAGCCAACATGTCCGCAATAAATAAAGAAAGAAAAAAACACATCGCCAGTGGTGGGTCGACCCGAGAGCGGTGCGGCCGGCAGGTAGCGAGGTAACCAAGGGAACCCTTTGAGGGATGATTTGGATCCACTGGGTTTGGTGAAGTCTCAAGATAAAGTTCACATTCCCAGAGCCATGAAAAGCCCCCGGCAGATTGCGGGACAGAACACGAAAAACCATCCATCTTCAAAAGAGATCTTCCTTTTGGGGTTCGGTGGGATTCCAGAATGCAGGGGAGTACCACTGTGAAGATTTCTCCTGGCTACAGAAACTACCTTTGCTTTTTTTGGATCCCATGGGTTTCCACACTTATATAGAGGTCCCTTCACATATGTCAAGTGGGGTTAAGAGGGCTACACCTCGGGTCTTTTGCGAGCTTTCTATACTTTTCAGATCAGGTCCCGGACCATTGTCCGGAGGTGCTCGAGGTCACCCACAAAAGGGTTGCCATTTTAGGTATACCAGAGGCATGGGGCTTTCACCCGGTCTACAGGGGCGTGGGTCAGGTGGTGACTAATCTTGACCCATACCCACGATATGACCCCCCTGAAAACAAAATTGCAGTTGTCCTGTTGTTTTCCCCGTAAAGACTCAAAAAAGGGCACCCTGAAAAGAGACACATCCATATGACAGTCGACATGCTGGAGGTTTGGTGAACGCCGAAGGCACCTTGAGCTGGTCTAGCCAACTTAGTCAATCGCGCGTGAAGCTCAAGCCGACCTGGCGAGTCGAGTGGGCCCTTCGCTTTGACGTGTGTCCTTAAATCGAGGGCAGCTTTCGGACAGTGTTGCCTCCAAAAAGAAGCAGAAATGGAAGCCGCTTATTTGGTTTGATCCCTAAGTCCGAAAAGCATCCAGATGCTTGGCGCAAAGATTTCCCAGAAAGCCGCGCCATGGCATTGACACCTTGCCAGCGGGGAGAGTAGGCTGGGTATGGACAACCCCTTCCAATGCAAAGAGTGTTGCCTCGGTGCGCGTTATGTTTTTTCTTCTCGTTTTGGAGATGGCTATTTTTCCCTGAAACCTTCTTGGAGCAAGCTGATCTGCGGGACTCGCGGACTTGCCTTTGGCGCCATGTCCGGCGAGGCTTTGCCGCCAGAGGCAGGGTGACCCCTTGAACTCACTTGTCCTGGATCCGGCCCTTGTTGTCCCTTTGATCTACGTAATCAAAACTAGTCAAGGTCGCAAAACTAGTCAAGGTCGCAAAGGCTTAACCGTGGCTAACCATGGTTAACCTTTTGTTTCCAGCCCTTTTGGATGTGTGAACGGGAAGGACACTCAGACCTCCAAGCGAGCTCTAAAGGGCTACCGAAGAGCAACATATCAAGGAAGGGTTTGCAAAGCCATTCAAGGGATTCTGCATTTTGAGACAGACGCAATTGGCCAGCATCATGAGAGATCCGAACAAACCAATAATTCACGCCACTTTTCGTAGCTGTGTCCTTATAGCTTGTGGCTTTGCAATTTGGGTGAATGTCCTGGTTTTGACAGGGTTCAAACCGAAAGTATACCGAACGTGTTCCCTAAGTCCTAAAGGTTTGGACGGTCGTGCTGGGGCCCTGGGGGTAAGTGCCTGTAGAAGCAAGGCAGGTAGAAGCAAGGTACAGGGGCCCATAACTGCTTGAATAGCAGGTCAAGGAAATGGGCTTCTTCGGCTCTAAGTAACTAGGGAGAAAAGGCGAGGGTTTGTTCAACCTAGGTTTGTGGAACCAAACGTGTACGGATGTTGACCCATGGCAGGTCGCGAATAGGAGCGGTGGTTTCGGTTTAAGCCCATCTTTTGCTTGAGAGCTGAAGACTTGCTCTCTTTTCCTGGCAGCGTGGCTTCGCAACCTGTCGATAGAGCGGGGAAGAGTCCCTCAAGGCTTCCAGTTAGCTCATGGTTCCCCTTGCCGGCATTGAAACATCAACCAAACACATGGCAGCATCACCTTCCATTTGCGTTTCAAGTGTCATAACGTTTCCCTGTTGGTTTTAAAGGGAGTCTATCCTTACTGGAACCAGCATGCGGGTCCCAAGACCGGTTTTTTCAATGACCGCAATCCCAAGTGCTGTCCAAACAGCAGTTAGTGGTGAGGGGGGGTGTTATTGGACATCTTCCAATCTTCTCCAGGGGGGCTAAAGCAAATGCCACCCTCGCGCGACCAATCCGCGTGGTTTTCTTTCAGATCGGCTCAGGGCCGGATCTCCGCCGCAGGCTGGGTCCAATTCGGAGTTTCGCAAAATGGAAAATCATGTTTTTCCTTATGGATGGTATTTGATGGATCTACAGGACAGGAAACCCTTAACTAGGTCCCCCGTAGTGCTTTCTCAAATTGGAAATTTGATTTCCCTTTTGGACAGTATTTAGCGGACGGGAAACCCTTAAGTAGATCCCCTTTTACCCTTTTTTGGGGGAGGGTTCCCCTACTAAAATAGACTACAGAAAGAAAGGGTACCCTCATTCTAACCTCCCTACTGGAGGACCTAGTTGAGATCCAAATGTGGCGCATGTTGACTGCTTGCGCACGCTTTGAAGAGAGCCCGGATCGAAGTGTTGCTTCCAGGAACCTTCTCTGAAGGAACCATGCGGAGAGAGCTTTGACACATGCTGGCCTTTTCAGGCAATCCATCCAACCCATGGGTAACGAAAAGGAGTTCCCATAGAAATTGCCAAAGGACCGTGGAGTAGGCTTGCCACCCCTCTATTTTGACACGCCCAGCAGGAATGAGCATACTTCGACTCGACTGGCACCCTCATGAGGGGTGCCAAGAGCAAGAGAGCCACGACCATGATGTCCCCAATAGGAACCACTCAGGTGAATGCAGAATATGTGGCTTTGTGTATGCTTTGATAGGTTTTGCAAGGAGTGCAGTGGCCCGTTTGTTCATTTGGTGTCCCACCCCCTGTTGGGGTTTCGTACCAGAGTCACGGAGCAGCTGACAGCTGGGTTGTGTGGATCCTTTGCCCTTCAGGTGCGTGGGCACCCAACAGCATGCTGTAAGCAGCAAGCCAGTTTCAATTAATTCATGGAAGCGGCAATCGGTCATGTTGCATACCCGACTCAACGGGGGAGGAAGTGGATTCAATCAATCTTTCTTCCCCTGTGGAGCCTTCAAAAAATGCGGTGAGTAGGGATGGTCATGACGCCTGTAGTAAATCTAAACAAGCATCATGGAGGTTCCTGCTAGTGGAGCCACGATGACCCATGCATTTGTTTGCCGGAGAGTGGCGCATGCGCCTGGGAAACACTCATGAGCTCAGACCTTCGCTCATGAAGGCCTGAAGCCTTCAGAATCATTCTTATCCGGCCTTGTTTCTTCCTGATCAACCACCTGGGACCCCAAAACCCCAAACCCAAAAAGACACAAAAACCCAAGGAACTCACAACCACCACAACCCGAACAAACAAAGCAACGCCCAAGAGTAAGTTCATGGAGATCTCGTGAGGCCGACTTTTCCTGACGGTCCATCCAGAGGCGAGCGGTTCGGCCCCGGTGGGGGGGGAGGTTCAAGACGAAGCGGAAAAATGCATGCCACACGTTGCGCGAGGAAAGGGGAACCCTAAAAAAGTTGGGGAAATCAAGCGTAGAGGTGGACTGAACACTCCTTTTTTTGGCAACCGCCCCCTTGACTGGGCCGATGCTGCATCGATGGTACAGGCTTGTCCGGGGCCAAACCTGCTCGACCAACTTGGAATTCAGCCCTATTGTTGCCCTTTTTAATGTGTGGCGCTTGGATTTTACCACGCGCAAGCGCTTCCTCTCCACAATGAAAGTGATCGACTTCGTAAAGGGTCTGACTCCATGGCGAGCTGATTGGGTTCGCCTCCGTGCTGACCTTTGAACATGTTCCGCTAGTA